TTACCCTCGGTACATTTTGATAAATTTAAAATCTAAGATTTTAAATCCCGATATAACTAAGTTAAAAACAAAACAATTTAGGTTAAAACAACCGTTTAATATATTAATGGGTATATCATCATGTGTAGATATTTTAATGCATTCAATTATTCCTCGGAAGTTTTTTTTTTTAAAACATAATTTGGTAAGACTTTGGACATTTAGCAGTCGTAGCATGTAAATCTCATCAAACAAGGTTGTATATGCTCTTTGTTACATTCCTAACTGTAAGATATATTTAAATTGATATATTAAAATCCATTACCTTGAAACAGTGACCATTAGTTTACTCCTCCCGTTCATGGATGCTCCACGCATTAATCAGGTATCAATTTATAATTACTCCAATTGCTATGACTGTTACACAACCCCGACAACTTTAAAATTTACGTTTTACCGATTTAAGGCGTAAATCTCAAATTCTTTGGCAGTTAATGATCCCTTATCAACAAACCCAGGCAGGATTTCGTCACAGCTATTCTGCACACGCGTTTACCAATGTCGGCTTTTTCATAACGATACTTGGACTATATATCTTCTGTGAAAAAATGAAACTTTTATGATTCTGAAAGTACCTGCAAAAGTATTCAATGTGCTTTTTAAAATACAATTGAAAAGTTGTGTGCATTTCAGAATTAACTACTAGAATCCACTTTTCCAATATAAATTTAAGCAAGAAGAACAGTATGTCCAACATATCAAAATATGTCCTTTTCTAAGTTTTTTTTATAGAAAAGATTTGGAACAACGTTTCGTTTTCATGATTAGAGCGGTCGCGTAAAATCCTGTACACGGACGATATAGGTCCGATTTCACCATTTGCGTACTGAATCTCTTTCAACGTAAGTCACAAAAAATATGACACACATTAGGAAATTTTTTTGGCTCTGAATATGCACACGTTTTTATATTAATTAGATGGTAATTATTAATTCTCCTGCTTTACCCAAAAAAGTTGTGGGAATTTTGTTAATAATTATGAACAGGCAACATATTCTCCTACTATTTAGGCTTTGAGTAGGCCTTTAGTCCTTACTTTACTCTTCGCTATCTCTACTCCTCGAATGGCTTCAAGAAACCAGCTGTCCACATAAGCCTGTCGTTATACGCTTCCACCCCCCATCTTATTGTCAAGGAGAGAGCAAGGCAAAATAGAGTTCCTTAATAAATACTGGAATTAGTAACAATCTGGTCTGTCGCATTCGAGAAGACAGGACCTTTAGGCATCCTAATCCTGGTGGTCCTGTTCTTCCGTTGGTCCATTCCGCAAAGCTGTGATGGAAAAGGAAAACTCATGAGCGGATTCGCTTCCAGTCCCCGGTGCGTCATTGAATCCCCGCGTCATTGCGCCCTGATTTGACGCCACAGTGGCGACGTCTGTGGGCATAGACATATTGGACCACCTGGCCACAGCCAATCCTGTGTCTCTCTGTGTTCCAATAGCATGCGAGGAAGATTAGCAGCCAACCAGAGAAGGACACGACTGAGGAGCAGTATAAAATGAGCGGCGTGGAAAGCATCGTGGACTCGGATGGAAGGCGTCTGACGTGTGGTTCTGGCTTCTGATTGGTCAATAAAGCGTGTCCTGTTGTACTGGTATTTTTCCTATTAGGGCTCGGGTATTCTACACCACACAAAACTACCTTTCCCTCAAAAGTGAAGCTGTCCTCAACTCTGGCTTGGTTCCCCGCACTGTTGATTATTGGCAATATATCCAATTCGAAACTCCCCGATACCCTACATTTTGCAGGTTTGTGGTCCAAGAAAGTAGTTGACGAGGGTCTTTGCTCTTATGGACTTAAAGGAAGGCCACTTCATTCATTGCGGGTTTTTTTCTTCTCGTGCAGCTTAACTGGCTTCTACTGTCCTTTTCATAGTCGCTGAATTGCCGATGCCTCTTCAGATGCAGCAGTTCTGATAACAGTGATTGTCTATGTATCGAGTGTTTGGAACATCGGAAAGAACCACCATGACATCTGCAGCTGGCATTTAAGGTTTCTTGCTTCTATTGTCCATTTTAGGGAAAGAGATGGGGTTCAATTTGCATTATTCAAACACATCCGCTGCCACCAGTGTAGAATACACGAGCCCTATTATGAAGGAGACTTGTACAATTGAACAGGTTTTACTGATTAATCACAAGCCAAAACCACACGTCAGACGACGAACATCCGAGTCCACCACGCAGGCTACGCCGCTCGTTACATACCATTTATCAAATCGCTTTGTTTCTGGTTGGTTACCTACCTTCCTCGCATTCCATTGGAAAGCAGAAACAGGGGATTGGCTGATTCCAGGGCGGTCCAATGTGTCTGCGCTCACTGACGTCGCAAAAATGCCAAACTCAGCGGAACTCCTGTTTTCAAAATATAAGGTACATGTTGAGAATTGGTCTTCAACCAGGTGTACAGCTGCCATAATTGCACATGAGGGTTTGGGCCTTGGCTTACTTTCATGTGTATGGATGTTGTGTTATCGATACAGGCCGTTGGAACGCTTAATTCCATACTTATCACCAAGAGCTTCTTCTGTGTTTTACCGGTAAGTTGCAATAGGTAAACACAACGATTATTTAAGGGGACTTTCATGATCATCACAAAAGAGTAAGAGGCTACCCAGTTTCATAGCATCAAGGACTGATCCCGATCGCTTGCTGGTTAGCGGTGCAGAAAGCTATGTCGCACGGAAGTTCATGGCCCCCGTTACAATCCCCCTTAAGATCTATTTAGCTATAGCGATTTCTTTATTGTTTTAAGTGACAACCAACTGTGAATGCATGGCAACATTATTTATTAAAAATCTAATTTCAAAAATAGTGTTGACGTCGGCGACAAGAGTAAAGCACAGCCACTTTGAAAATCACGACAGTAAAGATCAAATATTTTTCGGGAAGAAATTATCTATCCTCGAACGACACGTCCCAGGTTGTATTTTTCTTCCATTCGGGCGTCTCCTTTGACAGCCACGCGCTCTGCTGGAAGGCTTCGTCTTCGTTTGTCCAGATCGTACGTTCTCCAAGTTACCGGAAGTTTCTTGATTCCATTGCCTTTGAATTTTGCGGGCGAAATGGAAGTCCGAGTGCTCGGGCATAAGGTGTACAAGAACTCGTGAACCACATTCTTCACATAGTATTGTGTCAGCGTCGGCTTCATGTCGTTGAAAGAAAGTATTCCCTCTTCCACTCGGTTTCAGCGATGGTGATGAACTTATAGACTGCAATGGCGCATTGATTAATGAGAAATTATCAGCTGAATCATCTTCACTTCTCTTATTTTCTGCCTTAACTTCGGAAGGCTCGATAAATTGACGAAAAAACGATGTTCTTTTACCTGGTGACGCTACCTTGTCACCAATTTGTTTCATGAAGAGTTTTTTAACATTTCCACAACGAGATATGTGGTCAGGCCGAAATTTGCCAGCAGAAATGCCAATATTGGTAATCGGAGTTGTCCTGTTTTAAAATGGAAGCAAATATACATATGCAAATAATTGCTCTTTCTAAAAGTATTGAAGCTGTCCCTACCAGGCACCTCCGACTATACTTCGCAATGCGTTAAATGCAGACTCGGCCACTTTCTCCGTAACATCACTGTCTGGCGGGGAATCGCTAGAACCTCCCACGAGTGGCGATATAGTGGCTAGAACGGCAGGTGAGAGGGCCTTTGAATGTGATTCCGACTGACCGAAGCGAACGTGGACTGTCAGACTAGTAGGCAAGCGATTGTTGGTGCCTCGATCTATTGCAACACGTTCTACCAGCTCACCGGCAAGTAGCGTTAGCCAATGTCGAATGTCTTCGTCGGTCATGAGGGAGGACTTGCCCAAAAAGTTCTTGCTGCACCCGATGGATTGAACTAGAGTTCGCGTGCTTACTGCCTGATGGTCTTGACCCCGACATAGTCCATATAACCAGTTACTGACAATGAGGTAAGAACAACGAGCAAGAGCTTCATAAGCTAATTTAATTAAGTTCTGTATAAAGGGATTACAGCAAACACTGATGATTCTCAAATATGAGAACAATAGGTGGTCTTAACAGAAGGAAAACCATAAGTCGTGGATACATTCTCGAAAAACCATTCAAAACTATTTATTGACAACGTTATTAGTGGATCAGCCCATCGATCATTTCGAAAAAAAGTGAAAAATAACCCTGATCAAAGGCGCAATGGTTCGGTCTGTTTGAATGAAGCAAACTAGAACCAAGCTAAGTTACTTCGACTTCCACTTGAATAGCGATTTGGTGAAATACAACCAGAGATGTTAGGCTTAGATGAATTGGGCTTTCTGGCGGCGACAGGAGTAGTGTTTTACACTAGGGTAAAAATTGACTGACGTAAAAAATGAAAAGCCAGCAAATTAAAGGACTTTGAGTGATTACAACTTTTCTGCTAGGTGCCAATGAGTGACGGAGTGCTTAGGTTTCAAATTCCATAATGGCATCCATTTCAGTGATTGTTAAAATTGAACGGAGACCGGATAAAACTACTTTTATGACAGTTCGATTTACCCTGTTTTTTCGCCATAATCAGCAACCAAAGTTGAGAGAGGAACTTCTGTTAACGACCCAAAGCATTCAATATTGTAGCGTCGTGATACATCATCACCAAGTTTTCCACCTAATCCAGGACTAAAAGAAAGACAAGGAATAAGGACAAGGAAATTTACAAGTAAACAACAGGAGAATGGGTGGCACCAAATGACCTCCAGGCAAAGTTGGATTTACAACGATGAAAAGTTGAAGATTGCCTATTAAAGAACAAATCTTGTTAAGGATCTTACACTTTACGAATTCTTGTAAAGTTCATCAAGTGCTGCATCGATTCCAAGGGAACGAGTGTTATCTGATCTGGTTTATTTAGAGAACAAGCCATCTTCGCAAGCATCTACAAAATTATCAAAAGTGGACGTGAAATAAATTGAACATATAATTTTTACCATAAAAATAATGATGAGCGTTGGCAGTACAAGCCGTCAATGAATGTGGGCCTTGGGTATTCCAAACTAAAAGCAGTTTGTATTCGAGAAGAGAAATGAAGATACTGCTTTTTCAAGTACTGTAAACTTGAATACACTTATGAACTCACAATTAAAAATGGAGCCCTGTAGCGTGTTAAGAGACTAGTAAGCCAAAAGCAGAAAAAAAACATTTCTGAGATCATCGCAACATTTTGATCATTATTACTTAACAGATTAAGACGAAATTCGTACCGGATGCCATATGATTGGTCCCTGGGAAAGTAATTTGTAACTTACTCTGTTTGCGGCCACGCCAACTGAACATCGAAAGCTCGTGTCCTCAAGTATTTGCCTTTTGATTTGTTGGGCGAGATAAAGGGCACTTTTGAGCTTCTGACCATCACTTATTCGATCGAAGATGTCCATTTGGCAGGGTATTTCATTTATCGAAAAACTATAGGGAGGCTGCTTCTCCGTAAAATCTTGAGCATTAACTTCGATTGATGATGGGTCAAAAACAATGTTCGATTTCTCCGATGCAATGACATAGTTAGTAGAATCCAAAGAAATCATTTCTGTACAAGCCATGACTAAGGAAGACTATATACCTGTTACATCAATATATGCCTCGTCAATGCTCGCCCTCTCTATTTTAGATGTAAACTTAGACAAAGAATTAATGACTTCAGCACCAGCATCTCGGTACCTGTGAAATACGAGTGAGAAGTGAAGAAAAAATACCTGGTCAAGTCAGCCTTACCCCGTCGTGTGGGAACTTGGAAAAGCAACAAATCAGGACACTGTTTCATGGCAGTCTCACCATTCATATACCTTGAAACGCCCTTCTTTCGTGCTTCATAACTCACGGCGATTAAACTTAAAATCGAAATGTAAGTAAAGTGAAACATACGAGGCGGACGACAAACTTGTGTACTGGATAACAGCACAAGGAAGTCCTATAGTTTCAGGGCGCATTTTCTGCTCAACTTGGACATAGAAGCAATCCATGTCAATAAGAAAAACAACGCGATCCATCGAAAATCCACAACGAGATTACAAACCCACGGAACGACAGAACGCCCATTGGCTATTTTGTGTGACCTGAAAAGTTACTTTCCTGGGATTAAACAAAGACTGGGGTTTTTTCTGAAAAACTTTACATAAATGTTATCTTAAATTCAATTAACTTGATTTCTGTTGCAAATAATTTCCTGCACTTAAACACGTGAACATTTAAATGAAATAAGCTTTTCTAGGAATATGTGGATTAATGCTCTGAATGTAAAAATGCAAGCCACATCAAATGTTAGATCTATGTCATAACTTATAGCTAACTAACAAGTTTTGTGAACACGTTGACCGGTGAGTCATAACACAAGTCAACACAACTTTCTCATTCAATGTTTCAAGTTTACAATATTCTTAATTGCCTGTATAACCCATCATTTATTGGTCACTGGTTTGAAACGGACAACCTTAATCTAACAGACGCATTCGCGTATTTTTTTAGGTACATGTTCGTAAAGTGTTGTCTTATTATGCATTCAGAGACATAGTGAATAAAAGGCCTATTGTCATAAAAGCTTGTACAAAACCCTAGAAATTTCGGAAGTAATTGCCTTGAATCGGCAAAGCTGCTTGACAAATTGCGTTTTGAAATGCCAGTGATTATGTTGTGAAGGAATACAATTTCAAGTCCTGAATATTCTACACTCACACTTTGCTTAGTTTTTAAAAATGGTCAATTTTTTTTAAAAAATTGAACTGGTGCGGTGATTCATTATTCATGACCACTCTAAAAACACAGTCTATTTAGCTAGCATAGCTACCAGTTACTTTTTTATCCTATTTAAAGTTGGCCTGTTCATTTAATAGTTTTACGTGGCTGGCTTAGGTTTAATTGCTTTAACAAAGGCCGTCATGCCTATAAAATCCTTGACATCACTTGAATATAATATTTCATGAGTTTTGGGTTAAAAATATCCCCACCCAACTTAGATATTAAACTCCCCTGCATCAATTGTTTTTTTCAAAATTTCACTCCAAGTCAACTGATCTGTCGGTTAATTTAAATAATAATTTCATCTTCCCACAACACAATTTTTTGGCATTGTGAGATTGTCTCCAGCAGAGCTGAGAATTTTAAACGGAATATAACCTATGAAATGTTAGAGCTGTGAAGTCCGCCTAATGCAAAATGCATTTAAGCAATGTTTCATAAGTTATCGTTTTTGTCACGACCATCCGGTCACTCCTTCGGAGTTGTTCAAAGATGAATTCAACTTTTACTTTCATGGGCAAACCAAAGCATCAATGGCGTTATTACGCCAATAATGGCCATCCCACCACTTACACGGAGAAAATCGATGATTTTACTTATGCATCAAATAAGTTAAAAATGATTGTGAATGGTGTAACCTGATTGTCTAAAACCATTACGTCTTAACAGTGAGCACATTGAGATAGGTTTGGACTAGTGCCCTATGCACTCGGCCATTTAAGGGCCCAAAAAGTGGTCTCAAACCACCGCCGGGCTGATACATTGTATGAGTCCGATTACTTTGTGTTGGCACGAGACTTGATTAAGAGGACTATTGATAGCGGAAAAAAACCATTTACTAGATGACTCAGACTAGTTGTGTTCGTGTCGCGATCTGTGGATAAAAATTCGTGTCTCCTTAGTGAGCCGATTGACCTAAACAGTATAGCTAAACTTGTAAAATCACAAGTGGCTCAGTGGGTGGTTGTAGTGGTAGGGGATGAATGAACAGGAATGCATAGGCCGATGGTGAAAAGGGGTACAGCGTGTGGGAGAATGCGACGACCGTGTTACTGGACTAAACCAACATGGTTCAGTGCAGGCTTCTGGTAAATTTAGCTGATTTGCATAAATCAGTAGGATTAATGAATCAGTAGCGAATCCCGTCCCAGCGTTCTTAACTCACCAGTATCTGTTTAACTTGTAGCATAAAGAATATTTGAAACATATTTCAAGAAACTCAGTTCGCAAGCGGTGTGTGTCAAAATGGACTTACACACGACAACTGAGCCAACACCCTTCTCATGTTTAATAGGGCTATCCACCACACTTCAAAACCACCTGTCCACCCAGCATTGTCAATTGCACTAACATCGTGAGCCATTGAACGCCACATCTTCATCTTGTCCCGCACTGATTCGTGTTAATTCGTGTTGATCACCGCTTTCGCGGATACCCGCTTCATTATTTCCTCCAGCGGATAACTCTGATCCTGCACCAGTGTGTGCGTGTGTGTTAGTACCTAGTGTGGTAATTTGAGGTAATTTTTTTAATTTTTGTGGTGTCCTAGAACAGCCCTAATCGATTACTTTATAAGTGGTGTGGATAAAAAGACACATTTCTTTTCAAAGTATTGTGAAAAGTGCACAGAAAACGCCAAGTATTTAGTAGGCTTCTGATAAAATAAGGAACAAAATGTTAAAATGAGTTCGTTTTGCATACGGGAGACACATTAGTTAAAGGTGGCGTTTATCAGAAGCAAGCCCATCGTTGAGACCATCTACAGTCAAATTCTTCCTGTCGATTGTGTATTCCCTGCTCCAGAGCTGCTCACATTGCTCTGTGCGCAAGTGGATTCAGGGCAGTTTCCTTAACAGAAAACAAAGTGAGCAAATAGGTGGTAAAAATTGAGCAAAACAGCTACCGAACTAAATAATCGTCGCAAACATATTCAAAACGCATGTATCCTTACGTCTTTTTGACTCTTTAATGGGCGAAATAACCGAAAAGTTGAGGCTGGACTGTAGTGACTTAAATCCACTAGGTTAATCAATTAAGGTGAATTTCGAGTTTTACATCTACTTTTGGCACATAAAATTTCTAAACGAAAAGGGCCGCTCATCTTCAAAGTCGGCGACGATTTGATGAAGAATAATGCATCACCGTGAAACATTTATGTGTAATCGAAGAAAAAGAAAAGGAGAGAAAGAAGAAGAAGAAGTAAAGGCCATAGCAAGATTCGTTGATGTTTTTCAGTTTACAAGTTCGGAGGTCGCATGACGACATCGAGAAAACCCGATGCAAACGAAGAAATAAAAAAACAACATGGCATTGAGTGCTTTTTTAAAATTAACCTATCGAATTACGGCTGCAGGCCGATTAGGGCAGATCAACTTGGGGATAAACCCCAGTTCATGACTTTGCTCATTTGGTGGATTGATGCACGAAGGGGTAGTTGAAAAAAAGAGTCGACATCAGAAGACCTTTGTTGTCAGAAAAAAAAACGAAATTGAGAAACCCCAATTTGCAGAACATTTTGTCGATAGCACTGTTCATTTTGCAGAAGTTAAACGAACCCCTAACAGAGAAGTAGTCTTTTAGTGGAATACAACCAAAGAAGGGAACATAACATGGTCGACAAATTTAAGGTTTTTAAATTTTTTCATGGTTTGTGTGGCGAGCACATGTGGTGACGCTGAGTTTCCTTTTGTGTGGCAGCAGCACCTACTGTTTGAGGTATTCGACAGAATAAAATCAATTTTCCGAACACGCGTAATCTTATATGTCCTCTAAGTGCTGAGGTGAATTTTAAGATACCGTCGAAATGCTTGCACTATATGACATTAGCAATTATTTATCTACTGTGTTTAAACGTGATGAAAAATATTGTGTGCAAAAAATGTAAATGCAATGGATACATTCGAACACAGCGAATTCACAGAGCATCAGTTCCAATAACAACCACTTAAGAAGACATTTCTGCATGATTTTAGCCCATTTTGTGGCCAATCTTTCAAAGTAAAATAGCCAGGCATTCTTAGCTTACAAATAACAGTGTCAGCCATTAACTTGGGGATACTATTTATAGCAAGATTTGGATAAGAATTTACGTGGATCAATCGTCAATAAACCTACACCGGCCAAAACGGTGGTCCCTTCTGCGTTCACCTCCACGTGTAATCATTTAGCCTCTATCCTACCATTGACAGCGTCGGCGTATAAACAAAGAAAAAAATAAAACAATTTACCGGTAAGTTCGTGGAGGACTTTTGCGTCATCGAGATCCATTGACTTTTCCAAGTTGCATTGCTTTTCACCCACTTCTGCGTCTGCACACCCTCGGCCATCTGCTGATTGGTCGAGGTGCTGTGAAGCGCAAAGCGGTTGGTCGGCATCACCGGTAGTCGTGCCATGCGACTTCTGTGGGGATTTCGCTGGGAGGCGACGTCGGCGAGCGGCACGCCACCGCCGCACAAAAAGCCACCCAACGTGAGGGGGGGACGCGGAGGGTCGCAGTGACGCCGAGCAACGCGAAGCGACGGAGGAATTCCGCGAAACCTCGGGATGTCGAAAAACGGGGGCGCTGTTGCCGCCTTCACCGGGTCCTTTCGGCGTTCCTGTCTCCACCTCCTCCCCCTCCTCCTTATCTCCCCTTCTAGCACCTTGCTAAATGCGACGCATAAAATTGTGCACAAGTGAAATCAGACACGGTATTGCGCGAGTAACTGTAGAATGAGAAGATCCATAGATAAATATACCGAAACATTTAAACAAAAAATTCGTTGTAAATAAGTTAGTCAAATTGCCGACGATGCACTGGTCTTGCGCCCGTCTCGCCTTGACAGTACAAATTTGAATCCACCGTTTGCATCAGTGACAGGCCGAAGTTAACACGTTGCTTCTAAAATTGCTTCACAATTAAGGAAAATTTTGGCATAAACTACCCGCCCATATTGCAACAAGTCTATTAGTAAATTAGCGTATTATTTCATGTACATGGAAGTAGTAAGTGTGAACGTTCAACGGCCTCACTCACTGCATCACCGACCTCCGGTTGCATCTTGATTTCCGTTCCCTCAAAATAGGAGAGATTTTCGGAGTGCATAGTGATACTAGGTGTCTCTTGGTAAAAGCTACACGTTCTTTCGTCCGCGCCGTCCAGATCCACAGATTGATTTAGAGGAGGCCGTGGTAAAGCCTCTTCCACCTCATCAATGATGTCGGCTCTCTGCTTCAGTGACGCACTTTCCTCCACCATAGCTCGGTGATCCTGCTCCTCTGATACGTCTTGTGCTCCCGCGCTTGCCTCCACGACAGCGCAGGCAGTGTTTTGCTGTAGTCCTTCCTCCCGACAGGGTTGGCTGCCTTCTGCTTCCAACGATGCACCGGGCTTTCCGCTCCGATCTCCTCCAAAGACAGCCACACCCTTCAAATCACCACCCTCCTGTGGAATTGAAGCTCCGCACTGGGCAGCGGATGAACCTACAACGGAACACCCAAGGGACTCTCCTCAGGTGATCGCAGAATGCAAGACTACCTTTTTCACCTTTGTAAATAGATAAAATTTGGTTTTTTTTTGATAAATTAAATGCCTTCTTCCTGTCCAAGACCTCCCAACTTCAATCAACATTCAAAGTCGAAAGGTCTATGAAACTAAGGTTTTCTTTATTACAGAGAACTTTGACAGACAACCTGATGTGCTGCAAAAAACCCAATCATCTATAAATTACCGACCTTTCACTCTGTCAGTGATTTCCTCGTTGAAACTAATTATTGACTCAATACAAGTCCCAGATGTGTGCAGGCTCAATTTAAACAGGAATGGCATCGAACCCGTTGCAAACGGAAATCTAATGCTTAAAATCACCATTTGGTTGCTATTTTCACTATTAACGGAATGCAGGAGTAACTGGGTAATAACTGACTTACAATTGTCGCAATACATTGAAACGTAAATTGTGTACACCGACCCATTTGTGATTTAAGCGTTATTTTGAAGTCATAAACAAGTGCAGCCAAACACCTTCAAAATCACGACTCGAGCACCATGAGAGATACATTTAGCTAGCACCAAAACTGGTTCTAAGTCAACTCGAGCTTCTCCCGCAACGTTCGGAAAAACACACAGCAAATTTGTTTTGTATGGAACGGGTTTAACGAGGAAGATTCCGATGGCGGATAAACATTGCAATGGATGACCTACATTGGCCAGAAACCACAACGATTGGTCGTCGGAGACTATGCAAATTGACACAAGGCAAGATATCGGCGCCACTGTGGTCTCGATGCAGTGGCGAAGGCCCGAATCAAGCTAAAATACTGATTACTGGGGCTCTGCTTCCATGGCCTTTCAACCACTACAGGGCCTCTTTGTACTTGAACTTCGTTAACTTAACACAGTTCTATATAATGTGGGATTTGAGAAGCGCCAAACGATAGCACTGAAGACTGTGAATGCCTCATGGTGAACCGGATACAACAAAATAGGTCATTACGAATTTGCTCTATGAGAGAGGCACGAATTTTGGCAGTTGGCATTGTTCACGTGAGTTAGTGAAGTTCCAATACTTTTTCCAAATTCCTCTGATTCTGCAGAATATTAAGAAGGCTCAATCCAACAGTAATGGAAATTAACAAAAACCCAATTCGAAGACAACTCGCTTGAAGTGGAATCAATATTTTTATAGAGCCTAATAAGTCCCTTTCGTCAGCAAATCGGACGACCTGATGGTCAACATTTGAGGTGTTTTTTAACAGCTCCGATTTTGTGATGAAAATCAGCAAATGAAGCTGTTCTGACCAAGGCTCTCTTCATTGGTGGGTATTCGTTACACTGTAAGTTATGTGCATTGGTACCAATGAGGTCTAAGCTAGGCTTCGGCCCCTAAGAGAAGATGTCGTGCAGTTAGCACCTTCCTCCGTAGCACCTTTGCTTGTGGAAACACGGCAGTTCTAATTTTGACTTAATGCGGAAGAAACGTGTACATGCAAACTCCTGTAAAATAATTAGGTGTAAAAAAGGGGAAAGCCCTGAACGCAGTAAAGGAAAGCAGCGGAATTTTGTACCACAATGGTACCGATTTTATGCTCGCGCATGAATTTCTGGTTTAGTGCCACCATGTTGGCTGCCGCATAAAACGAAATCGCAAATGATCGACCCAAGGCCTAGGAATTAAGCGGTTGACAATTATAATGAGCCTCAGACGCAATGACGAGTGATTACGGTGGGGGTAACTGCCCACATCTCAAGAAATGTTTATGCGAAGATGGGTACATCAATTTGCTTACCAGCTGGGGTTGGCGAGTAAACGGAATTGAAGTAACTGGTATTGCAACCCATGACCACGATCGCTCCTTGTGTTCAGCCTGCTCGACACACCCGGATAAGCTCGGACCGATAGCGCGCTGCTTTGAAACCCGCCACACGTGGATATCGATTAACCAACAGATACGAAATGTGGGCTACATTGTGGCGACTTCACCACGGTTGCGAAGGCGACAACAAGTAGAAAACACAGCGTGGAAACGTTGAGAAATAAACAGTTGGTAGCACTAAGGGACTCGCACGCGCTCTTGAAGAATTAGGAGAATGAGTTGAGAGGGGTCTCGAAGGTGCACACTGACGCACATAATCACGGGACCGAATGTACAAGAAATTGCTGGAATGGGAATGGACCAGGAGCAGAGAGACCCTCAAGTGCCCAATGAGGAGAACGAAATGCTCAGGCTGACGTACATTTAATAGCACAATATTACAGAAAGTAGAGATCACAGGGAGAAGAAACGAGGGGGTCTAATCGGAAAAGAATGGAGATTCAACACAGACGACGAGAGTACAGCCGGAGTTCTCATCGTGTGGACACAACAACAAGGGAGGAGAAGTCACAGAGTTGGCGCACAAACGGAGCATCTGCTGAGGCAGACACCGCGCCCCAGGTCGTGCCATCTTCGTCATCACCGTCATCGCGACGACGATGTTGTGAGGCCTTCACGCAGAAGGAATTAACCTCGTACACTCCCGGTGAAGCGGCCAGTGCCTTGAGAGACAACCACTGCGTTTCACCAGGACCCAAGGCGAGCTGCTTCAGCGAAACGCCCGACCAGAGGACGGACGGTGGGTGGTTTGGAAGAGACGGTTTCTGTGGGCGCGAGGGGTCGGGTGGCGCTGCTGAGGACTCGGGGTTCGAGGCGAAGTGTGGCGAGTTTCGACTAAGGAGAAAATCGGCATTTTTACTTTGTCAGTCGGGGAATTTGCTTGACATTACGGGCTCGGACACAATTTGTGGTACTTTCGGTCGATAAACATCTTTTGGGACAGCAACTATGATCAGTGGAGATGCCCTAAATACATCATTGCTAAAGTATCGTGGACGCTGCGTGTAAATTTTAAAACCCGAGAGTACGAACGTTTGTCCTGTTCAAGAAACATAAAGTAGTTTTCATAACTTGGTTTGATGAGAGTTCCCTTGGCACTTACACCGCACGCATGGGGGCTTGTTCTATTAGGCTCTAGTTGTAGGTGCAACAGACGTCGGTCCTTTTGAAAACTGGGCACGAAACAAGAAAGGCGTGAGAAGCGAAAGGAGACTTACTTTGTGTAATCGCCGCTGGTTGAAAGACGGACTGTTATCGGAGCCGAACTTGCATTGTAGAGTTCAGCGGTGACTGGGATTACAGCCATGGCAGAACTACAACGAGGCGCCAAGGTAGGGTCAAAAACGAGTCAAAGCGTACAAGTGTCAATGATAACGCGAAGTAGGGCGAAGAAATGATTGAAATTGATTCACCATCGAGCAAGTTCATCAATTTTACACTAAACTAATGGCTGGCGACTTTTGTTGCTACAATGTGGAAAGGGCCGTTATGCATTGTGTTTTTTATGCACGAGTGACTCCTACGCGGCAAACAGGGTTAAAAGCAACCCACCTTGCGCGATCGGGCAGTGCGGGGATGAGTTGATTCGCCGAGGCTGCGAAGTCGTGCACCACTTCAAACGGGTGGTGCAGGCGCAGACGCACGAGGGACGAGAGGGGCAGGAGGGAGGGCACCGAGGCCAGCACCTGCGCCAGCTGGTGGCCCGGAGGCTGTGCCAATAAACACACAACAAGTTAGCGGCCTGCAATGCGAGGGCCAACAACGTGCACGTGGTAATGAGGAGTTAAGGGAACGGTGAAGGCGGGAATGGAAACAACGGAGGCCAATGTCGCCTCAAGCTACACAGGACTCGTACGAACTACGTCGATTAAATTCAAATGGACAACTTAATGTTTTATAAGCTTACTGTGGGCACAATTTCCGCCACCTGGGTACGGCTGTATACTCGTACCGTGGCATCTCAAATTACAATGTGACGAGACAATAAAATATGGTTACAGGTATTGGAAAACACCATCAAACGACCTTAGCATGTAGTTAATGGAACACACATTTAAAGCTCTTAATGTGTAGCGTGGTTTAACTCGATTTACTTGAAATATTTTGAACTTTGTGGGCGACATCCAATGTTTAGTGATAATCAGTGACAATCCTATTCAATTGCCAGTTGATTTTGGCAGTTAGAAACAGCCAAGACAAATTTACAACCGAATACAACAGTCCTCGTTGGTCTGGTTGTTTCCGACTTAACAAACCTCATACGTGGCTATTTCGGCAAAGCACCGGTATCTATTAAACCAGGTAAAATTGGAAGCATCCTACACACACTTCGTGTCGGGTACGGTTATCCAGTGAAAATGGAAAAGAACGAACACCACAACACCTCCACGGCGTAAATTTCAAAGCAAACGCACAGATTGGGGCGATGCTGGGGTGTGGGAGTAGACGACGTGGACATGGCTCTGACCAATCCGAGCACAATCGTTGGGATCTGGGGTAATGACCCGCCAGAATGCGATTAGGACGAGATTTTTCGGCTGCAAGTCTGTTTCCGGGACTGAGTAGCTCGTTGTTTTATTACTCTGAAATAAAAAAAACGCAGGTGAACAATGGAGGCGCTGAATTGGAACTTTCAACCTACAAAGATGTTCAACGCAAATCCCAAATGTGGCTAACTGCGGCTCTCTTCTGTCCACGAGATGCTACGCGACCAGTCATGTTGAACAACAAGGCTAAAAACAGCGCGGCCGTGCACCTACCGCAGGCAGCGCCAACTGTGAGGCGTGGACGGCGCGACGGAAGAAAGTGACGTGGGGGGACGCAGCGGCGTCGATGCGAGCAGAGGACAGCGGGCCGAGGACAACGTCCGAGCAGCGTTCACCGGCTGGCGACGAGGCGCTTCGTCGCGACGCCCGCACGCACAGCGTTACTTCCTGGGTTGGACTTATGGCAACACCATCTTAATGTTTTAAAGCAGGAAGACATTTTTACTTATGACACTGCGCTCCTCATGGTCAAGATCCGCGAAATTCAGCCCGCACTACACCAGTCTAGTACAATGATAGCCGCTGCTGCAGAATTTAAAGCGTCTTACTAGAGAACGGAATTAAAATAAACCTACAGAAGTAAAGATGATGGACCTAAGCTCGTTTACTTGTTTGCGCTCAAATGGTAATCCTAATCGCCTTTGAGACACAAATTATCACTTAATACTACGGTAGTAGGTGGAGTCGGGACTTATGCATACCAGTAAATCGGGGTGAGTTACATATAAGCTGACAACGTGAGATTACAACAGTTCGCAAACCCACAATAATTAGCAAGACATTCGAATCCCAATTAATTCTGATAGATCGATCCAGCCAATTGGACTTGGGCATACGCCGATTGAACTGTCCGCATGCAACTGAGATAATTGACGGTGAATTAATAGACGTGCGAAAATGCCCCATGATAGTGGCGCCGAACACGTGGGCACGATCATCCAATGGGCCCCCAACAAATGCCCGGAGGTTTGAGCGACCTTGTTGTCATCGGGGGGGGCAGTGATGGGAGTTTCGGTCAGTGACAGGACTTGGATGTGAAACAGTTAAATGCATTTTGGCTGATTCGTCTGCTCAAGCTAAGCCCACGAAAGAGCGCCACATTTAAAACAACCGCTGTAACCACGAATTCGGAGCCCCCTACCTCGGCGTGAAAAAAGGGCAAACAGTACGACCTCACAACAGTCGTAGTTTAACTGAACAGGAGCCTGGGATAAGGTAATTGGCAGTTGACGCTCCAAATTCTTGTGGAAAACTCGGGTCAACTTGCCTTGCAAGGAGGCAGCTGCGGGAGCCACAAGCTCGATGTCCCAGTCCTCGCTGATGCACGTTAACTGGACCACACGAAAGGCGTGCTAATGAGAAGGAACCAATTAGAGTTAGGCCAAAGTCAAGTAAAAGCGGATAAGCACGCGCGACTCCAACCTGCAACGAGGCATTTTTGCACCGCAGGATCACAAAGAGTGAATCCACTGCCGTTCCTTGAGTTCTCGAGCAAGTGGCCGTGAAGTGAAGCGACGGCAGTAGGTAGAGATTCGCCTCGTGTCGAAGAAACCTAAATCTTTTGTTTGAAAAGCACAGAATATGTTAAAATGACAGTAGCCAACATTGATGGTCAAAAAACGTATGACGCGTTCGGGCAACGTTTAGCACAGTATTTTCAACGGATTTTGAAAAAAAAAGTAAATTTTACTGGATGTACGTCATTTTTACAGACGTTAGCACCCATCACTTCTCAACGAAAAAATGCCGAAATAAAGACGTTATGGCGTATAGTGGCTGACAATGGGTGTGTGTTAATTGTAGAACACCTTAGTAATCAGACAAAAGAATGCATTTGGAGATTGCAAGCACAAAAAGAACGTACTCGGAGGAGCCCTGGCTACTGTAACCGAAAACGAAGTAGACTTTCCGCGATGGCGACGTTAGGGGAGCCAGGGGCCGAGGTGCGTTGTTGTGAGGCATCGAATTTGCGAGATAGTGATTGGCTCGTCGGATGTGCGAGGCGGGCGCACGAAGCCAGAACTGCTCCCGTCTGGACGCGGAGGGCTCGATGGTCGCGGTCGGTGCGATCGGCGTGATGAAGGGTGGTGGCGATTTGTGGGGGGAGGACGGAGGGAGAACAAAAAAACTCGGCCACGAACACACCAAGTGGAGGTTGGTGAGGGCGTGGAGGCCAACGTTGATGAGGGTCATACTGTGACCGTAGATTTCGCCTTCAAATAGGTGCTGAGGAAACGAGTCAAATATCGCCTGTAGAAAAAGAAATCGTAGTTGAATGCCAAACTCGCTAATAGATAGGAACAAGAGGCTGACAAGAGCAAGCCCATGGATATAGGAAGTAGGAGAAGGGCTTGTGGTAAAAAAACGAAAACGAAAGAGGTGAGAAAACAACGTGAAGGGGCACACACACACGTGCATTAGTGGCAGACAATTAATTACCTTTAATGACGGCCGTGGCGACTGAATTTTCCACTGGAATCTTAGATCGGATTCCATGTCAAAAGTAACCTTAGCCTGAAGCCTGGAGCCGTAGGCAACTGCCGGAGAAGCTGGCTTAAAGCTTAATGGATCCTGCGCCAGCAGGTGGTTCTCGGTTGACGACGCGTCGGACGACTCGCTGTCCGAGTTGCCCACCGACATGTCCACTTGAGGTGTGGTGCTCGATAGCGCGAGAGACGACAGGCTTGTGGTGACGCTGAAGATGCCCGAAGAAGACGGGGTCTGTGTGAGACCAGCGGGCAAAGCGGCCGCCACAGCAACAGAAGGCGGGCCGTCGGCGCAGAATTGGACACCAGTTGTGGACTGGTGGGGGGATGAAGAGTTTAGGTAGAAGGCCAGGCCGACGATCTGAACGTCGCCAGGATATTGGCGAGGCTGGATGCTGAGCTCAACCTAGAGATAACAGGAAAAAATACCCTCGAACACAATGACTGTAGACAGTGTGGTTTAGAGTGCCTTTTAAGCAAATGAGCTCATTCTGACTGCGCTACGACTGTGTATAGTTCCACGGAAACACCCCCTGGATCGCACATCTGTGTAAGATGTCTCCGGCACTAATAGGAAAATTGATAGCACAATTGTTGATCCTGCTGTGAGGTCCACAACTATCCTAGTATGTGAAGCGTTGCCAGTTAAAATTGTGTTCATTCAGAGAAACTTCAAATTCACCAAATAAACGTGTGCGCTGAAAAACATCGCGTTCCTATTATTCTGACGAAGCGAAACAGGGTGGTGGTTCCTGACCTTCACTTTTTTTTACTCTAACGAGACCAATTGGGTTGAGGTTCGCCTTAGAGGTGACTTGCACAAGCATACTGGGCACAGCAAGGCTAAAACCTGCACCAACCGCTTTCCTATCGCCGGGGAGCATGTAGAACTCGCTGAGTAACTCCGTCGTGACGAATTTTTTGGCCTCCCGCAGTCTCTCCTGATTGGCGTCCTCGTTGGAGACGACAACACGGTGGGTGGAGACCGCGCTCGAGGCGGAGTCCACATCTGACGAGGTGCGCTGCTGGGCGAAAGAGGCCTGCCACATCAGGTGCATGTCGGTTAGCACTAGGGGTACCCTCCAGGGATTGTGCAGCGGGATCTGCACAGTCAGCTGCTCTAAAGGGTCACATGCAATCAGTTTTATGAGAAAACTGCGAATCAATTTCAAGGCTCTCTCTACCATCAAGATTAATCACCAACTGTCTAGGCAACAAGACTTAAGGAAACAGGTTCACGACCAAACAGCAGCTCCGACAGACGCATGTCTACGGTGACAAAGACTGTAATGCGGTGATATTGGTAAAACTGCCAACCACCTCGATCGTCAGTGCCTTTTAGCTTGAGAAGATTATACGATAGGAGGGCTTGTGCATTGTGGCACAATGTGGTTATGACCTAGATGCAACAGAGCACTGTGAACGTGTGCACACGAAAATAGCGCAACTAGGTGGAGCCATCTTCCGTCTTCTGATTGGTTGAGGGTATCAGCGTGGAGCGAACAGGACAGTACACCGCGGAGGCCCTGGTGCCTTGAGCAAAGTCAACGATTCTGAGGCACAGGCGAACAAAAGATGGTCAAGTGCTAACACATGACTAGAGCAGCTTACAAACAAAAAGAACTCACCACCAACTGATAAACAGTGAGGTTGGGTGCTCTTTCTCGAATTCTGTAGCCTAGATGGAGGTGCAAGAACCAGGCAACCGCCAGCATCGTCGGTGGGCAGTTTGTTGCCGCAGTGGAGACACAGGAGGGTCTCCAGGCGTCGGAACACGGCGTCACGGGCCAGGGGGTAGGTGGGTCGGCCGTAAACGAGGCGAACAAACTCCTCGCCGGGCTTCCTCAAACTGTCGACATCGTCGCTGTCCCATGCTGAAAGGTGCAGCACAACACATTACCTCCGATGCACGGGGTCCAAACCACCGGCCACCCTAACCAGTCGTGTTACTGAGACAATTGCTACCTCAAAACTGTTAAATGAGGTGCAAGTTAGGTAGAAAATTAGGGTTGCAAAGTAGTAAGACCACGTGCTATGACGGCACTTATGCAAGGTAAAAGGCTGGCGAAGCAATTGGTGTCAGCGAAAAAAAGGCAACAAAAGTAGCATACTGGTGACTTGGGAGTCTGTAGAGACCATCCAAGCTGGAATAGCGTCTGGAGTCACAAGAGTGGGAAACACGTGCGAGATGAAGTTGTGCGGAAGACAGGCTCTTTGGGTGTAGAAGGCTTTCGCGTCCTCGCCATCTTCGTCGTCTGAAAAGGAGGTGCCTCGTGCCTCGACAGAACCATCGTCTAAAGCAAAGTGATTCGACACATCACCAGTGCAATTGGCAGTTTAAGCACTACGAAAGACACCCCCGTGAAAGAGCTAACCAAAGAGCAGTCTCGCGTCAACTACTGAGAATAGCGTTCTACGTTAATGAATGACGGTGCATCACGATCGTGATCAGGAAGTAGTCCTGGTATTGACTTTCCGTTGTAAGCACCCCTTCGAGACGCATTTGAACACACAGAAAGGCAACTGCTAACTAAAGGGAAGGGGGCTGATTGAAAGGCGAGACGATAAACCTTGGAATGGCAAGCGGCGACAGTGAAAAGCACAACTAACCATCACGCGTGGAGACGGGTGCGCCCAGCATCGTTTTGATCCGTGCCTTGTCAACAACCGGAAGACTGAGTTCAATCCATTCTGCGCCAGTGCTATTACTGGCATTCACCTAAAGCATTGCAAAATGGACAGTATAAAAGTGAAGGCATTTGACCCTTGTCCAAACTGTTCCTGCTCGGCTGGGATTGATCATACTTCCCGGTCACCTTCTTAATACGTGGCCTCCTTCACTCTGTCAGCACTAAATAGCTGGTCAGTCAGATTAAAGACCTGGCTTGACTGCAGGGAGCCAAGGCTTAGCCGCTTCGTCTGAAGTATTGCAAGATGCTACGGTACATCACACGATGGGCCACAGGACAAGACACCACGGTTTATGTGTCCAAAGAGAAGGAACCTCGTGAGCTGGCCTTGACCCATTTCTCTTAGAATCTGCGAGAACGCAAAATAAGGCAAAATTCTGCGAACAATGCGTCCTACGGCAGTCCGCGTGCTGCACAAATAAATACAAAGGGTTGGGATAAGGGTTTAAGAAAAGCGTGATTAACCCGAGCGGCGACAGCAACGAAGTCTCGCAGAAACCGAGCCTGCTTTGCCTCCAGCTGGTGACTTTGTGGTGATATGAGGCGCCTGAGGCAATCGAAGGCCTCCGATAACTGGCCGGAGATCAGTTTTTGGCGGGCCAAATTCTCGTTGATGTGGTCCAGTGCCAGGCTCCAACCGTCGTCAGCCTCTCGCCGCGGGGAAAGAATCTTCAGTGCCAGCGAATACGACCGGACGCTCAGATGGGGCTGCCCAACAAAGAAAAACATAGCGGCCTTTAATAGGTCAAAGGTAATTACACGCAAAATAAATGCAAACTTTAGGGTGTAAAATTACAACTGGCAAATGAAGGGGATACAAACACTACCTACAAAATGTAAGTAACAAATTTATTCACAACAAAACACACCTGCTTGGCCCGAGCGAATCTCACGCCAGCCAGGGCCATTCGCATTGCGAAGTGCCGAAGCAGCGGCCGCTTGCCGCGGAGACAACAGTGCGCAGCCTGCTCCAGCAAAAGACCCCCGGTCATGTAGTCGTGCTACCATGTGGGGAAAAAATTGGCAACTAACTTGAATGCGCGCAAAAGAAAATACAAAAAAAAAACTCTAGAGCCGGGATGCTGGTGGTTGGACACAATTTGATGGGGTTGTTTGTGGGTAATACGCCAATCAAGCAACCAAATGACATACTGTGGAACTATTTGCTATAGAAAATATTTGAAATGAACTTTGGTTCTTGTTCTTTCTGGCTATCTCTGAGATGAAGCAATTAACTAACACTACGCTTTGACTCTACAAGTAGTCCACCGTGACTTTTCAAAAACTCCACGTGTTTCTAAAAAAAGGCAGCCTAAGTGGGAAAATACTTCTGATGAAATCGACTGGGCACGCGTGCTGAGATAAAATGCAATAATGAGGTGGTGTAAATTAATAAGATATTTGAGCAGCAGTGAAGAATCGTCGGAATATGGCGGAGTAGGAGTTGGTGTTGAAATACATCATAAACTCGTTGTTACGCACATACAAATGATGGTCTAGATGACGCCATAAATATTCAGAATCGAAGCACTTAAATGGTAATCCGTTGGCAACTTAGTGAAGAGGAATTTGACGCTACCACAATTTGCGTGGAGACTGGATAAACGTTAACAAGATATTATTTTATTTTCCCGTATTTTCTAGTATTGCACTACAACTGCAATGCTGAAAAACGCGATACAGAGGAACATACTGGGGAAAAAAGCCATCGTAATACAATCAAGTTTGTACAAGAACTAGGCCAGGGCAGTTCAATGTGATGATTCACCGCAGTTCAAGCGGCTAACCTGAAGAAAAACACTGGCTCCAGACTGGGTTCGGCTATAAAAAGGCTTTCTTTTCAAACAAGGGAACGCAAGTTAACGATTTTGCTAAAGGCTCTCTAGATCGCGAACGAGTAGATGCTAAAGTGTCCAAAAGCGATTCGCCAAAGAGGCAATTCAAATCTAAGCATTACTAGAGTTTTGGGGTCTGGATGGTCACTTGGTATGGAAGGCCACCGAATTCAAGGCCGTGTAATGGCAGCCTCAGCAATGTGGAACTTGTCGAAGTTGCAAAATCAGTTTTCGATGTGCATAGATGCTCGATAGGGCAGAAAATTCCACTTAGAAATGGGAAAACGCAAGTAGTGAACAATCACATGTACAATGTTCCGATGGTTGCTAAATTCAGCCAGGTGCGTCGAGTCACAATTGCAGCTATAACTTCGGGACCTTAAAACACACGACTCGAGAAAGTAATTTCGTTTTCGGAGGCAAAATTTGATTACAACACCAGAACATTAGCTCATTAAAAACTAAACTGCCTTATGCGAACCCCAATGACCAGCCGGAGCATTGAAATATCTTTTACCAATACCCAAACAACCGTGTCAAATAATACCGTGGCAGTGTTAAATGACGCAGTTACCTTGATTAACTCACATTTCCCAAGATCTGAATTAAACAATAAGGACGAAATGAATGTGACCATCAGCGGTCGAGATCCCGTAAGACGATATTGTAGCTTTTTTTTAACCAAGATCTGGCATGTCTCCTACCTATTAGGTTGAGGATTTCATTTGTGGACACCGAAAGCTGGCTAAGTTAGGTTAATGGATTTTTTCATTTAGCCACGAGCTACTGACCATGATGAAGGCGAGCATGGCAGTAAAGCGATGAGATATAAGGCTACAAAGCACACGGCCGACCGAAAAGCCAGCTTCATGTAGAATTTGGTAACCCGCAGACTCCAACTAGCATCTGCATACGCGCAGCTACTGAGGACGAACGAAGTGTGGTGTTACTGGCTTCGCAAAAAGGCGTGCGCATTTGGGGTCCATTAAGGTGGTGCCAAAAACGTCAAGGCATAGTGAATGGAGTTATCATAAAAAAACGACGACCAAAGCTATTATCCGAGGGCTAGCATAAAGATACTACATAAATAACAAATGAAACTTTCTGTGGATGGACAAAGTCAAAAAGATAATCACCACGCTCTCATATTAAACAAATGTATTTGGAAATCCACAAGTAATTTTCTCAAAACCAGCCAAAATCAATTAAACACTAAGGTAAGCAACAATAAGTGTTGGACACTTCTATACACATCAACCATTAACTCCAAATGTCTTTTGTAGTAGAGACTGACTTCATCCGCTTTCACAATTGCAATAACATTATGAATGAGTGTTGATTTTTTCACCAGATTACTGTTCACGAATCCAGCACTTCAAGGTTAATGTGTAGATACCCGCGGCGCAGATGAACGTGGTAGAGGGTGGATTGTAAATACTTTTGTGGGAATTATTACAAACATCAGACATACTTACCGCATCAGCAAGACGAAGGAAGCACACCGCAGCTTCGGCAAACAGCTCACGAGACTTGAGAGCCTCCGTGTGGAGAAGAACGGCCCTGAGCGCGAGCTCAGAAGTCCTTTGATTAAAGAAATCGTATTTACTAACCGAATGGAGAAAAACATGAGCTAGAGAAATCAACACACCTGCCCCTTGTTATGTATGTAATAATCGCGTCATCCATTTGGTGCTGTGGGTATTGTCGTTGGCTGACAGCGCCCTGCAAGTACGTTGAAATAGCTGACATTTCCTGAAGATAAATAAGCACAAAGTAGCTACCACTCTAAACCAATATATGAAATATTAATTTAGACCTTACCTGTGCGCCAGCGTAATTGAGCCAAGCAGAGTGCTGCCTGAAATCACGCTTAAGTAAGTCGTAGATTTGGTGAGCCGATTCGTACTGCTGAAACAGGAATAACAAATCAGCCAGGCGGCGCATTTGCTGCTCCGGGGAGTCGTCTGTGAGAATGGTGGAGTTGTTCGCAGGCTGTTGGAGGGCTGGGTTGGGAGACGGTGTTGCTGTGTTGAGAACAAGTTGACCAACATTTGAATCAGATCGGCTAGAGGAAATAGCTAGGGATGACTGCTGAGGTCCATCGAGGGCCGCCAGAGAGGGTGCGGAGGGAGCGGCGGTCGCGTTACTCGAGCCGGTCGCTTGAGCAAAGAGCTTCCGAGTAACTGAGAAAAAACCGCGGGATTTGCGTAATCGGTGGGAAATCTGGGGTAAAAGGAAACAAATTTTACCAACATCAAGACATGTGGCGTGCGGACGACAAGCAACAATTATGTAACTTAGATGGCGCTTGCATAACACGAAGACCCATGTGTTAAAATTCGAATATTGCGATAGCAATTGAGGAAACAACTGCATGTCTATGATATGATAGACTACATGCCAGATTATTCGTACATTTAAAAAGAAAACGACCAGCACAATATCTAACCTGATCATTCAAGTTCTTTATTGTTGCTTCTGCCCAGGGTACGAGGATACGTATAACAAAATCTTCAACAAACGCCCGGAGTTTATCGTTGTCCTGAGCAGAAAGGCATTGACCATGAGGCAGATTCAAACGGGACACGAGAGATGAATCTGCTCCTAAAGTGATGCAAAAATGAATTAGCTGAAGTTCGCAGAGTATGGACTTAGACACTGTAAATTGAAAGGATAATGTCTACAGAAAATCTAATAGTAATAATAATAATCTGGCCATGAAGAGTAGTATAAGTTGGTAAAGTACGATAACAAAGTGCTTACATAAGTTTGACAAAGCTACTACCTTACCCGGAGGTGAAATAATTATCTTGTTTGTGTGCGTTGTAGCCCAGCCATGGGGTGTGAGATAGCAAAGCCAAGGATCCGCATATGGCGCGCTGTTACCATTCACCGCAGTCATAGGTTTTGGTTGTGAGGACAGATTCAAAAGATAGCAATTGGCATTACCATAGGTTGATGCAAGTGACTGATAAATTCTTTTGGTCCTAGGAAATGTGATTGTAAGTAAGAAAATCAACATGACAAGCAAGGGCAGGTGGGATTTGCTTGTGCGTAACTTACTCATCAGCTCCGACTAAGGCCGTGTCATTTATAAGGACAAAAAAACTCGGCAACTTCGAAGGGCTGAACCAGCGCAAAGGCTGGGTCCGGACTAAGTTAGCTTGTTCCTGAACAAGCACAGTGAAAGCATTCAGTGGATCAGGATTGCAAGTGGTAACCACAAATAAGCAGCCAAGATAGCGCGTTAAATACTCGTGCGCATAGGGGCCGAGACCAGAGATGAATGAGTGTCGCCAGTATTCAAACCAAAACGTGTCAACTAAAAAAAAGAAAATGTCGGAAAAGAAGAAACATCAATTACAAGCACTGAAGTGACAAACCTGGAATACTGTAGGCTTTCCCGTTGAGGTAGAATGTTGAATATGATGCAGGGGGGAAAAGTGACGGGTCAATTACGCCTTCGCACTTGACAGAGAGATCAAAAGGCAAAAGGGCGTTGTGAAAACGAATACGAAGCTTCTTCATCACGTGAGAAATATTATTGCCATCTTTCATACATACTTAAGGGATGGTAGGAAATAATTAGAGAAACAAACCATCCCTGATTTGACCACTAAATGGTAAAAGCAGATCAACAAATGTTAGATTATTAGGAGCCATAAATTTATCCACATCAGCCGAGGTCAGGACTCCCACAGTTGGACTGAAAAGGAACTGCACAAATGATTCACCCGCTACACCGAATTTAGCCATTAAGGCGTAGAAAATTAACGACAAGTCTTCGCGACAAAAAAGCACCACCACCCTAAGCCAATTGGTCAGAAGCTAGCGTTCCGAAAATCCACCTTAAATACAGGTTACTAAAACATAAAATGATTCCATTTAACATTCACAATTTGCACCTTTACTTAACAGAGTAAAGTACACATCATTAGCAGCTTTTTTTAAATTAAAGGCCTTTGGAGCATGAATTTGCAAAAAAACAATTATAAAGAACTGCACACTCTTCCACCAGTGTTTTCGGCTAGTTACACTCCAATGTGCATCATTTTGACCCTGATCTTTGTTTTCATTTTGATTATTCAAATTTGGCATTTCTAAAAGCACGTCTATGGGCGTGAGGGTAACACATTCCTCTCGCTATCACTAAGCTCTAGCATTCTTAACGCGTATGAAGCAGTATGAAAAACTGATGCACGAAATGCATTCAGGTTTTTTTGCTATTCTTCTATATTCTGCTTGTTAGCTAACCCTGATGGCGTAACCATCAAAGAGGGACGCTAAAACAGTTTTCTATCCACCTAATCCCCACTCGGTAAATGAATTACAAATCGGAGGTCTGCGCAATTGCGTAAAAAATCTGTCATAGAAATTAAAATGCAAAGGTAGCTTATTTAAAGATTACGCAAAACATAAATTCTGAAAGAAAACAATGTTGACATATTTGCAAATATTATATAATTAGTAAAAAATACAAAACTAACAAACGCCAGATTTCGCAAGTAACAAAGGGATGGGAAAAAACCAGAGTGATTTTCTTAGATAGCATAACAAATAAGAAATGAAATCGCCCACTTGCTAAAAAAACACTCACAATGCCTAACACAACTATGTTTACTTGAATTTTAACAGTATTACACTGACGTATCCCTACCTTGTTCATTAAATAATTAGCAATAACCATCCTTAGCCCTTTGGTCTAGTTTACATTAGAGTTAATAAGTTATAAGCATTCATTCTTTTCAGTTAATTAGTGCAGGTTTTCTTTGGCTGCTATGTAACTTACTCTAACATACTTTTTTTTCATTTCTAGGTGACTTGATGCCAGGCCACTTGTTTACTTTAAAAGATCCTCATTTTCGTAGACATTTTACCTCATATGGAAGCTCGAGTTTATGTCTGCCTTACCAATTTTTTTCTAGCATATTTCTGCGGGCATACTTTTCTGCTGTTTATTATGCATTTTAAAACTTAGTTTGAAATTTCCTAGGAATCTGATGTTATGCAACGATTCCTAATTTTAATTGAATCGCCAAAGAAATACAGAACACCTCGGTATGGCTAGTATTCAACAATCATAATTTTCAAGCATATTTAACAATGGACCTAAATCCCACAAACATAACACACGAGTTTGCAATGACCTGCTAATTAATTGTTGGGGTAGGATATGGCAAAGATAACCAGGATAACAACGAAAGTTGGAGACGAGAAAGGAACTCAAAAGTTTATTAGACCAGTCTGCACGCGTGTTTTTTTGCGTTTGTCGAGTCGTTGTGCAAGACTCACACATTACCAATAAGCATTTCCTTTGCCTCCTTACCTACACCAAGATCTGCCAACATTCCTTAACTCCAAGCACTATCAAAAATCCTTGAAAATATAAAAAAACATAGCTATGATGAAGGTCGGATCTTTGTAATTCTTATAATTAATTATATCACTCGTATCAGTTTCGTTGTTTGATAGATAAGTGCGGGTATAGCTTAAAATTTGGGCCTGTCGTGATTAGCGTGAGCTGAGCCTGCCGTGAGGAATGTCATTGAATCAAAAAGAAGTAGAATAATTTTTGGAACACACATTATAATGGTAGCAAATTATTCGATATTATAATGACACGCTCATAGGTGGAAAGTCTGGCGTACAAGCAAGACATATTTCTAAACTCGTTGCGAAAGTCTTGGGTAAGCTGTAAAAGAACGGAGGTTTCTTGGCAAGGTGACATGGTTGCTTTAAGTGTTATAAGTCTGAACCAGAAAGGAGAGAATATGATAAGCCTATTTTTTAAAGGTATGCCTGAAGGTTGGCCATTTGATAAGTAAGAAAGAAAGTAAGTAAGAAATTAGAAGAAATTAGAAATTAGAATAAGAAATTAGAAAACAAACCCTTTGTCGTATCAAGAATCACGTTTGTGTGCGGCAAGGGATAGAGGTCGTGCACCAGGACAGGATTAGATTTTCTGTAATAATTACAGAGCCTAGCCTTGTACCATTTGTGACCAGGTAACTGCTGGGGCGCAGGAAGTCACAACCTAAGATAACATTCTACCTAGTGTCGGAAAAAGTCGGGCAAAGGCGCGCTTGGACTTGGAACTCTCGTTCTTGAAGATATCGTTCATCTGAAAAACTTAGTTACTGATTACATCGACACGGGCGAATATCATTACGTGCTTGGGGGCGAAGGAACCAGACGTCGTAAGACTCTAGTGTTCCTAGGACGATAAAACCGCGAGTACATTTCCACTCAGATAATCTTTGGGTGATACAACATTAACACTTTCTGTCAAGCCTGGACTTGTATCACACCGTGCACTAAATGGCATGGTGTGACATCACTATAGGGAAATCCAGCAAATCGCCGTCATTAGTGAGGAATTTCGGAAGAACACTGCGAATAGGACTTGTGCAACGTCAGTGACTCCAAGAGGCTCCCCTGTGGTTGGGCTACGATGCGGAACATAGACATTTAAGAGATCTGTTTACAAAGGAAAATACAAATGTTTTCGTTGTGCGGTGAAATAGGGCCTGGGGTATAAATGTAAATAAATTCTGCTGATTTTAGGAGACAGAAGACAAAGTAAGAATGCAGTCCCAAACTCAGAGGAGAAGTGATACAGCTGAGAAATTAGGGCCATGAAACAGTGTGATCTTAATTTTTCGGAATTTCCTTCGTAGGTTAGTTCTGCCGGAATCCCTACATTAGAACCTAATCTATTTTGGGGCAAGCAATGCATGGTGGCTGTTGCGGCTCGATAAGACACGAAAATCGCGGAGATTCGGAAGAGCGAATACAATGGAGGCTCAATGACTCAGCAGGCCGACAAGGTAAAGAGGCGAAGTTGTTACTCGATAGTAAGGATATTTAATGTCGATTACTAACCGTATAACAGGGTATAGGTAATTTAAATGTTAAAAACCCATTTAGATGATAACTCAATCTCGCTACAGTGCAACGTCTGCATTGACCAACACATTCCTCGTTTTACAGTATCAGTAAAAATATTATTTAGAAAGTGGAAACTTCCAGGCCAAACAGATTTCCAACATTGCCACAGACCGCAAATAGGTCCTATGAGGGGTCATCATTAAGCATAATAGAGGCCGTGCGTAACATCCTGCCTACATCGACAACGGCACAATATTGATACTGAAAATAGTTTACGAGACTAGGGTTCCAAAACGGTTTCTTGAAAAAAAGGTAATGAAGTCAACACAACGCTTTAACTGAAGTGATAGGCCATTCAACAGATAGAACTCTAGGCTTTTTACATTATAAGGTCATATGAACAAGACGTTTGGGGATTAGTTTAGGTATATGCCAATTTATCGTGGTCCCCATTTAATATCATTAAGACCATGAAATTGCCTCTTCAGTTGCCCCGGGTCAGACCACGCCGAATCAAGGTAAGAGTCATCGTCATTTTGCTCTAATTTTTTCCATTCTTCCTGACGGCGGTGATAGAAAGCCATCAATGCGCGTTGGTCAGCCTCGCTGATTACCGCCTCGCGGGCAGGAGCACCAGATCCGCGTTTCTGGATTTTGGCAATGATCTTAGTTTTGTCATTATTCCCGACATAATCTGACAGCTTCTTTCCTACAAGCAATTCCTTCCCAGAAAACCAAATTGTAGCTTCATCGGCAGGAATGACTTCAGTTGCTGCCTAAAAGGAAAAACATATGCATACTAATTGGAGACCAAGGTGCAAAGCAAGGTATTTTCACAACATACATGTGTTCCTGAGAGATCTTCTTCATTCTTTATTTCCAGCTGGATAGGATCATACGGCGGAAGACCCATTGGATAAACAATAGTGACGGCACCACTTAGCATCATGAAAGCTTCGTGGACGATCTCTTTTGATAAAGCCTTCCCTTGTCCAACCAAATCCTTAAATTGAGTGTGAATGACAATACTGCTGTACTTTGGAGATTAGAGCTTTTGCTTCAGCACTGGTCTTAACTAGGATCTCAGCAAACTTCTCCGTTGGAGCTATGTGTCTGTGTAATTTGTATTACAAAATACCTTTGCCATTCCTTCGACCGATCTCATCCTTATTTTCTACATAACCACCACTTGGAATGCACTTCTGACCCCACTCGTCGACCAATTTTAACTCTTCGACTTGTTCATCCGTAAGCCCCTTAAATTGACCGTGACATTTCGTACAGACGACTTACTTGCATATTAGGCGGGAGAGAGACCCCGTGTTCAGCCAGTTCAGTTAGTTGATCTGCGATTCGGAACACTTTTAATCGATAGTTGTATACTTCACATGCCAAATCAACAAGTGTTTTTACTTCTTCCGATACAGGAAGCTCCAATAGAAACTGTGGCTGGTCACCCTTTTTAATAGTAATGAAAACCATAGAACAGCAACAGTATCTATAGTAGGAGACAGATTAATTACAAAAAATACCCACCAACAATAAACTATACAACGACTAACGCCTTTCTACCAACCAGTTCGTTCAAGGTCAGAGGGAGCACCGTCGATACACTATTGAAGCACACAAGTAACGCTAAATTGGCTCAGATAAAGCATGCAGAGCATGCTTATTTAATTATTCGTTCCACCCACCATCACCAAGTAATATTTTATAAAAATTGATCCATATTAATTTTTTGTAAAAGCAGACCTGCGACTACAATTTAATTCCACTTTCCTATTTAGGTTCCCGCTAAGTTGGCGCGTTACATAGGCACGAAATTTTTTATGATTATTTGTCATTCATGACAACTTGATTTTGAATTGTGAAAATACCTTTGAGACACGTAATTAAATTACGTGTCATGTGCGCATAAATATATGTATTTGCACTCATGTCGCTACAAATTACTTCAACTTCTGATATTCATTCATCAAATTCCTAAGTCAAGACGATATTATCTGACTTTTTAGCCAATTTACCGTCATTCATAAATCCAATGATAATAGTATCAGGGTATTGATTTTGTCAACATTGCCAGAAAACACATTTGACATGCTCTCAGAAATTTAGCACCGTGGGCATTTATTTTTGTAAGCAATTTAATGAAAATAAAAATTTTAAATATTTTTAAGGAATCGTGCAAATACAACAAACATGTAAATGTGTTAAAATACCCACATCAGATGCCTTTTTGTAATTTGATAAGGTACACTCGTTAATTAGGATTCAAATCCAATTATGTTTTGCCTTCCACATCGGAAATTATTATTTTGAACATACAAGCGGAATTTTGCTAAAGGTTTTTTTATTAGTTACTGTCATTTTCTAAAAGAATTATGGGCCATGACAGATATTTTGAAATATATATTTGACTTTAGAATTATTTTTAAGATTGATACATCTCTATCGGGTATTTATCCGCTTTATAAGGCGACAAAGCATAAGCAAATTTTCCAAGCCTGCGCATTTGTTTTCAAATTTTTAAAATTTTTAATGCGTTTTGAAGGTAATGTTTATGCATTAATCATATTATTTTATAGTTATTAGAGTTTTCCTTATAACTATTGCAGGACGTAGTGTCATGGGTTTTATCAGAAGCAATTTTGTCGAAAATTTTTTTATAATAAGAGAAACTCGTTTTAAAGCTTTTTATAGTTTTGTAAATGATTTTAAATTATGTTGTTTAAAATTTGTCTTGATTGTGGCACATGCCGTCACGCTTCGGTCGTTCCATGCGGCGTGAGTTAGTGTCGTGGTTGCAGGTGCTTGTCAGGCCTTGGTTTCGTTCCTGATTCGTCGTTTTATTCTGGTAAGTTTCAATGATGAACCGATGACGAGCTTGAATCGTAAGAGGTGTTATTACCAGAGGCATTTGTCTGAATTCTTTCTAATGACCATTGTTTTTTTAGGTTCGTTCTGCCCTATTCTCTGGCATGATAAGCATTACAATGAAAACGTAGGGCAGACAATTTTGGGAGGCCTTTTTTAATGTAGTGTCATGCGGTCGTTTGACTCGATCGTTCTTGCTGAGTTATGGCGACGAGCGTTCTTCATCCATTTCTCGGTAAGATTTAATGATGACTCGATGACGAGCTTGAATCTTAAGAGGTGTTATTATTCGAGGCATTTGTCTGATCGGTATTCTAATGATTTTGGATTCTTCTTGTAGGTCTGTTTCAAGTCTCAATTCTTCGACGTAATGTACGTTAGGATGAAAACTTAGGGCAGACTCTGATTTGTGATGCTTCCTAAGTCTGATGCTTTACTTGTGGGGATTCTAATCGTCTTTTTTACTTTAGGTCGGCCCTTCACCCAAGTTGTTGGTCGCGGAGGTTGGTTTTGTACTAGATTTTGATTTTTTTCCACTGCAACTATTTAATTTTTCGTATTTGTTGTAGATCCGACTTACTAGATGCTACTATTCTGATCTGATGGGAGTGTTCTTCATTTGGTTTGACGGTATGCAATTCAAATGAGCTGCGGAGACGCCATCTATCCTGGCTAGATTATCTTTTTCTGGTTACCTATCCGGTATTTATTGAGTAAACACGTATTGCGTGTAATGAGTTCGTCTCCGATGTTTTCGCCCTGTGGTTAGCATAATAAAGGGTCTGAGCTGTGCGCGGTCATCCGGTCACGCTAGCAGTCGTTGCCTTTTTGTTAAGGGGTCATTTCGTCTGTGCTCGATAAAACCGTTCCTGGCCTCCGTATATCTCATTCCGTATGTAGCAGACACCACATGGGGTTAGTTCTTATATAGGTGGACAAGGACATCGGTTGTTCAGGTCTTTCGGGTTAAGTGTTGCCCAAAACTAGCCATCGGGGAGCTCGCGCATTGGTGCCTTAAACCGATAAAATTGGGTTCTACCAGAAATCTTTGAAGCTGTTCGAGTGCGCTTCTGGGTTCTCATTCGCTGCTGCTTGTTATTGAGATGCAGTTGAAAAGGTAGCCCCAAATTAGAAAAAAAACAGGGACGAAGGAGACGTTCTTTTTCCACTAAAAGCGCTCAAATGTGCACCGGCACGACGTAGGCTTGTTAAGCGATTCAGCATTGTGATTACTAGACAGCAAATATGGAGTTATTAACGAGGTACAAATAAGAGACGACAAAAAACCGAGTCAAATTTTGTGCGATAAGAAAGGAGCATGACTGGCGCATTTCGTAGATGTGTACGCTTTACGTGATTGGTGAGCAGAAACAACAGCAGTAATCCTAACGGTGTATGAATTGATTGTCAAGCAGGCGAAGCACTCGGCAACAATCTAGTCGTGTTCCTTGCTGCTCTCTGCCTGGTTGTTTTCGCTAGTGAGGATATCAGAGACGCCGCTAGCCTCCTCGGGACTAGCCGCGTCTATTTCTGCGCATGCCGTGACGTCGGTGGTAGCCACTTCAGGCTCCGGCAGATGACTTGGATTTGGCACATCGGATTCCATCGTGGTGAATGAGTGTGACTGATCGCACTAAAAGAAACATGGAGGATGAAGAGAGATACACAATTCTTTCCTAAAATATGGAATGTGACGCGAAACACTAAATATTTAATTGTCAACAGTGTGTAAATTCTTCGGTACATCACGCCTATCCCTTACAGAATAGGGAAAAAACAGCAAACTTGTCATAAACGGAACTGAGGTTTTGCCTGAATCAAACCCAAATATAGTTCTGGTGGCTTAAGGACGAACATCCCGATGGTGGATAAATCTATCACCAAAGCGGACACTAACACTGGCCAGAAACCACAACGATTGGTCGCCCGAGACTGCGAATTGACACAAGACTCCAGCGCCACCGTGGTCTCAATGAAGTGACGACGGCTCGAACCAGTCAAAAAGGCTGATTACTGGAGCGCCGCTTCCGTGAACTTATAACCACTAAGGGGCCTCTTTGTACTTGCGTTTAGCTCGTTTAACATATAATGTCGAATTTGAGCAGCGCCGTGTGAACACTCAAGACTGTAAATGACGCATGGCTAACAATGTATCGCCATGTCGACTCACAAGACTCATGAGCATAAATTGTTGTTCGGTCCAAACCATTTTGTTGCATATTCCAAGAACAAGAGAGACAACGAAGACCTTCGCTTTTCAGTGGAATATGTAGGTCTAATTGTGAACGTGAAAACCACACAGACGAATTTGCCACATTCGTATGGCTCAAGTTTGTGTTTATTTGATACTAACCACACGAAAATAGCAACTGCCATTTCACAACACGAAGTTGTGCTACGACATTTGCTAATCACACAGTGGAAGTATGCTTATACAACCAGATAAACGTACAGAGGCGGAGATTTCGGAGACTTCGGGCTCTGCGTGGGCAGGCAGTACTACTTCGGCGCCTGGGCTGTGCATCTCGCGTGGCTCGGCGTTTTCGGGTGAGGAGGGCTCCAGAGTGCTGGTGACGTTCTCACCACCCGTTCCTTCCACAAAGGAGGGAAAATCGATCGACTGACGCGCCTTTTCCCCAACCAAATCCCCCGAATCCTCCAGCTGGCCTGACTCGAGCTGCTCCGTGGACAAATCACTGCTGACGAATGCGGCCGGGTCCTGGTGAGCTGGAGTGTCGGGACTCCAGCCACGACCGGCAGAGTCAATTTGCTGTGCCGCCTGCAAACAGCAATTATGGGTACTTAAAGGCCAATTCATACGTCAATTACCTGCCTACGTTAGAATCTGCGCAATCTTTAAAGAATTAAAGGTGTCCAAACTGAAAAAGGGTGTGGACGGCGACACTAAGTTGTGTGACAGCGGCACCACGTGAAGTGAAACGTGATTGGCCGCCCAACAGTTAGACTAGAAACTAAAGAATTTCAAAACGCCAATGCGTAGAAAGAAAAAGTTTTAAAAAAAACACGATTTGTTTCCACAGAAAAGCGTTAGACCAATGATAACGCTTAATCCAGGAGTGCAGTGATTGGAATCCGAGCGTGTCGAATAAACTTGACATCTAATTTAGCAGTGATAACCAACTCTACTTAAAATCTCAATGTGCGTGTTTTTTAAGTCTTGAAAGATGAGGCACACCAATCAGTCACGCACTGTGGCATTGAAATCCAGGACGAACTGTCGCTTAAATATTATTCGAGAAGGCAATTGAGTGCTCAATTAGAACCGCGGGACTACAGTTTTGTTAAGAAATAGATTGGTTTTACTGTATGAAAATGAATCATAACCCCGGAAGTTATAAAAAAAAGGCGTTGGTAGGATCTTGATGACTTTCGCCTCACATACCGCAATAGCTGGACCAAATATCAGATGATCACTACCAGTTGCAGACACTACCTGATGCTTTGAACGCATCCTTCCTAGACCGATAACCGGGTCAGCGAGTTAACCAGAGTTTTTTTTTCTATTTGAGCCCATTACCTGTGGCATTAAGTAACAGGTTGAAATTGTATAGGATGCTGCATTTCGAAAACTTCCAGTGTAGTACTACCGACGAAGCTGGTATTTTCTATTGTCAACGCCAGCACACGATAAGTGGATGATGCCACAATTAAACTTGACTCTGGTAGAGATCTTCAGTCTTCAACAAGAGATCGTGTGCTCTGTGAATTAATGCTGCTAGACGAAAACTACGTCGCTTTCTTCAAGACTGCAAGCCAAACTAGCTAAGCTTTAGCTCTCAGGGAAAACCAACTCCAGTGGAAAGGCCCGCATCTTATAAGTTAGTACAATGGCATCAATGCAGTTCTTCACGTTGCGGCGGCTGATAGCAAGACCGCCTCAACAGACGTCCGGCCCCGCAAATAAGTGCCCTAGCCCCGCTAGAAAACCACACAAAATCGCAAGTCTGTAACAAGATCAATAAAGAAAAAGTGGAAGGTTGCCACACACCTGTTCGCGCTCCTCGATCTCAAGGACGGGCCGAATATCGCGCATGCAGTGCTTCACGATGTCCTCACGACCGATTTGGCGCAACACGCGGTCCAGCTCATTGCCTACGTAGTACAGTGGAATGAATTAGGCGAATTACGAACGACACGACTAAGCGGAAGTTCAGTGAATAACTTACCCGTGGCGGCCTCTCCTGCTTCGATGGTCCAGGCAAGAAGGATAGCGAGTGCGCGGTCGCGATCACAACGGAGCCCCTCATAGTTAAGTCCTGCATCGGTGAGTGTGTCTGCGGAGCTGCAGTGCTTTCCGATCCACTCGATCAGCTGATCCGGCGAGGGTGGAAATTCACTTGAATCGCGTGCAAACAGGGCTTGCACGAGACGTGGCCAATCGCTTCCCACTTCGGTTGCGATCTCGACGAGGTCGAGGTGCGTGCGGGCTATCGACTCGTCAGTCATAGCTGTCAAAATTGCATCGAAATTAACCCACAAATAGCCTGGTGTAAGGGTGTTTTGACAGGTTGCTAGGCTCTAGTCTTGTACTTACAGGCCGCCCATTCAGGCGGTGGAACGACCAGAGAACGACCACGCGAATCCCTTTCGGGCATCTTCTGAGTGGCGTGTTCGAAGTGCTGGGGCTGAGTGCACGACAGCGAGACTACGGATGCAGCAGCAGCAGTCGAGGCGACCGTGGGTGTACCCTCGAGGCCACTAGCCACAACAGGTCCGGAATGGGCCGCACGGAGGGCGTCAATTTCCGCCGGTAGAACCACTTCTAGGCCGCAGATTGGGCGCACAGGCAACGAATCACTGATTGCCGTTCCGCCCAGCTCCTGAAGTTTGGAAAGAACAACTGCCTATAGTGCCGCCTCGCAAAACAGAACGCACCTAGAGACGCATCATTGGTTAATATGCCTCATGTGTTAATGTGTGTTTCTGTTTACTAAAATGAACTATTAACAACGCAATTATGCCTGTCAACGAAACCTATCCACTTTCAGGGACAGCCTTTAGGGTATGTGGAACATCAACCGATGTAACCTTACAAGGAAAGTGTGATTAAAAAGTGACACGGGCTAAGAAATATTTGCATTACGACCCTTGTTGAGAGATAAACTAGAAGGTCCGGTTTAGGACCAGCATACCTGCAGCATTGGCTTGATCTCTGCAGCCGATCCCGGGCGCGGATCCCGCACGAACGCCACCTTCCCGGAGGGTTCCAGCTGAGGGTCCTTGATGCGAACAGGGAACGCAAGACGATTCTCACGGAAGGCGTTAAAGTGCAGTCTAAGTTGATCGTCGACTTTAACGACAGGAGCTAGGTTGCCCGAGGACTCAAGCCATGTGGGTCGATTGTCGACGACTTCAACTTCGTTGCTGGCTGCAACCAGATCAAAGCCCTCCTGGCATTCCAGAGTCTAGATAAGGTGAGGCGGGAAAACGTTTCTAACAGAATCTGCTGCATAAGCGTACGATTGAATCGCGAAAAAGGGGTTTAGCAACAATGAGCCTAAGAACCATTAAAAATTCGTCACTTAGGATATTAATATCACCGACCAAGGCACACAATTAACACTTGTTGCCTTGGTACATCGTACAAACCTAAAGTGCGCAGGCTAAGCACGAACAGTAAAGCAACCTGGCGAATAAAAAGTTAATCTCACCTTGTCCACTTTATCGTCAGTTATGCAGAAGCAACGCATGAGGGCCTCATCGACCTCGGGGCGCTTGGCGAAGACGATGAACTTCCCCATGTAGGGCACCGCCGAGGCCTCCTTGTAGAGTCGCATCGCCACCTCGACTGACGCGCTGATCACTGGGCAGTCGATTAACCAGAGCCTGGGAAATGCAAACCAATTCCATGACACACGAGTCCCCGGACAAAGCTGAGTGGTATATCTTGGTAATAAGTGGCGATACTGGTATGAATAGCGCCATCGGAAAGAGAAGGGTTCATCAATGGAAAGTGACAACAAAAAGTGGTGGAGAGACCATCAGTTGTTGAAGACAAACCGCTTTCACTACAACCCACAAAGCTGTAACTGAGATTGACGTGGTGCCTTGCGAGGGCAAGGAAACAAACTAAACTCAAGAAATGTGCAATAGCCTTTGGGTGTGGGCGGACGACCTACCGCGCAGAGACAGTGGTGGTGAAGGAGACGCAGTCCTTGACGCGGGACAGGGGCGTCGACCCAGTGATGTCCTCCCAGACGGCCGGCGAGGTGCCCCCGGTGATGGAGCAGAGCAGGCGGAGGGTGCTGTTGGCGGCCGAATCCGCGCCGTGCCCTGGGAGGTGCTTGCTTGGAACCACCGACTTTGGCAGCGGGATGGTGAGGGTGATCGGCTTGTGGAACTTGCGCCGACGTGGCTCAATAGTCACTATTGGCGACACCGTCACCTGGTTACCCACTAGACGTGTGACCATCTCCGACGGGACTTGATGAGCCTGAAGTCAGGGGGGGTGAAAGGTACACTCTGTCAGTGCGAGACATGGATTGACGTGCAATTGAGTAATTGAAATTGTGTCATTTGTTGGCAGACCTTTTAGAGATTCGCTAACAGTATCGCCGAAACAGGCTATTCTATAAAGTGCCGGAGTTTTGTTACACAAGCCAGTTAAACAATGCAAAAACAAAGTAAATGAATACCGCACTTGAGAACATAAAAACACCGGATTTAATGGAATAGCTTCGGTTAGATTAGCCGGTAATCTACAAAAATGTGCACAGGCTTGAAATCAGCACACACACACAGCGTTGTTCGCAAGGCCTTGAGGGTTACTTGGTGGGAACCTCGACGAGTTTTATAGATTAAAATGGACAACGTGATGTCCGTCCAGGAACTACATGGGACACCCTTGTCCGCTTCCGAGTCAATAGTACAATTCTGCAGACTTGTTACCACAGAAAAAAACGGTGTACAGAAACCTTTTTATGTCCGTGAAGCAGGTTTTATAATAAAATCGTGCAAACTTAAAAACTCACCTTTAGTGTTATTGACAGCTTCATCAACACTGCTGATTGTTTATACAAATGGCGGGTCTGTTTATGCATCACCGTGCACAAACCCAACAAGTACTTCACTTAAACATGTGCCAACCGATTCTTTTTAGCCTCTACGCCTGTCCGTAAGAGCGTCGAAAAAGACTACAACAGTTGGACAATCGACTGCTCCACTTGTAATTTCTAAAATTAGCTCTACAAGCAATATTTCATTTGCTGCTTTTAAGCCCAATTAACATCATATATGAACAGAGATAATAATTCGCTTAGATATACGCAGCAATGTGTTGGAATAACTAGCTTCTCCGCGCAGTTAGCAATACCTTGAGTTGATTTGGAATTATGGCTTACAATACTACGTTTGAGGATCGGGTAGAGGCTCTCGAGATAACCCAACTGAGAGAAAGCATTTGGTACGTAAGACCAACGTTGACTCCTATGCAAACTTACACATACACACACATCGTTAGCCCGCTCGTAAATTAAGCTGTGCATTAATTTACGAGGAGTAATTATTCATGTGCCAGGAATAGACTTTGCAGTTGCCAACATTGGGGGACATCTACTTTTGCTAACTGCACCCAATGAGGAGCAGATAGGCAAATTCAGGTTCAAGTGCTGATGACTTTATTATTGATTTTGAGGCACAACGAGCAACGCAGGGAAGACAGGGGAGAACATTCTAACGTGCGAAATTCGGGCACAGACAATTCCACAATAGATTCAAGGGTATCAGAAGGACAAGTAACTGAGAGCAGTCCTTCGTTAGGAGCCGTTACTTTGCGGACGTTTTTCAACGCAGGAACACCACGGAGACGAATTTCAAATTAACGCTAAACGTTTTAAAATTTTGTCTACATGCTAGCATTTAGGCTAACACGCAATACGAGTATCACTAAGATTATTATTACACGCACAAAAATGAGGCTACACATAGGTTACGCTAGCTATTAAACCCTTTACAAGCTGGACGAACCAATAGTGGAAATATTTTCATGACTCGGTCGGTTGTAGCAATGCCGGAAATGAGAGGTAGGAGCAGAACACTTTTTTTGAAAACGGAACAGTACCTGCAGACCAACACGAATGCGTTTCTGGAGAGCGCCTTCGGGGAACACGGCCTGGACCTGGGGCACGACGGTGGAGCTCAAAACCCCGCCATCGGACCCAATCATGGCGATCTCCTGGCGCAGACGGCTCACCACCGCCAGGTACTGCGGGAAGTCTGTCATGAGGATGCGAAGAATCCGCTTCTCCTTCAGTTGCTCTGCCGTCTCCAGCGAATCTAGTAAAATCAAAGACGCGATTTACTGTCTGTCCCGGGGTAGAGACACGCAGACACATGAGGTGGGTAGGAGTTTGCAATGTTCATCAGCAGAAACTGCGAAAAATATCCCCCCCGCAACAAAATTAGCAGGCGAGCATTTACCAGCAGCCACCATGATCAGCGGAGGGGACTTTTGATGGGGCGGGTGGGCCAGCCAGACGGAAGTCTTCGCCAAAACCAACGCCATGTAAAAGCCTCTGCGGATTCCCTGTTGGAAATTACTGAGTGACGACGATAGCAGTAGATTAAGTAGCAGTATTAGCTTATTTCTAAGCACAAACAAGCTAAAATAACCGGTTTCCTTACAAGACGACAGCGAGTTAATAAGCATGCCTACATTATCAAATATATTCGATCCTACATACACACACGAAACTGGATGGCTTTGCACACATTAAGGTGGTGACCATTTCAAGTACATAACTTATACACGGAGTAAGTCACAAGAATATCGGCAATAAATAATTCCTGTACGTTAAACTACTTTACAGTCCTGTTGTCAAATTACGCGAAAATCAATCTTATACTGACCGTTTTCACTCGTGCCTGTCATTTACGTGCAACTTTCACTGAATACACTCGCAATTTAACATTTATTGGCTTTGAACAACACATCATTTGAAAATCAACATCCAGGGACCTCAAACATAACTGCCGTTCTGAACCTTCGCTTCACGTCGGATTTCCAAGTCAAACATCACCTGCCAGCACAGCAAAAAATGAGCCTAATAATGGTGTGATCCCTCCCTCCCTCTTTCGCAATGTAACAGGAAGCACTGGTCTCCAATTAGATTAAACTCGATTGCCCACACAAATAAACGCAAATAGGTGAAATCTGGGGGCAGAGATTCAACATCTTGGGGAGCAATTCCGGGGTACGCCATGAACTGCTGCTCATGCCACTGTGAACAATGTGAACACGGTCTTTCATCACTTATGGATGGCCCCACCTACTCAGCCACCAAGTTCGATTCCACTTAGCAGGAAATAAACAACACAGCAACGGCTCAATGCTCCACAAAAGGCAGAAGCAATGAAGCACCACCAAACACCCGACGTTTCGGGCAAAGTTGAATCATCGAATTCGGAGCATTGGTTTGCCATTAAGAGTTCCTATGGCGTGCAATCTAGATGTCAACAATTATAACTACTAAGGTTGGTTCTGTGCAAAATTCGCTTTTAACAATTTGCTTTTGCATTAGCGAACAGGATGCAATCACTTTAGGTTTGATCTAGGATGAAATCCGTTAGTTTTCTACTATCACGAAAACAAGCAGCAAATTCAAGGGAAAAACCATTACTGAATTGTCTACCTGTGCGCATTGGCTCACGCACATAATGTCACGAAGTCATCGAGTCGGCATGACAAGAACGATCTCGTCAAGCGCACACTAAAAATCAGGGTACTTTCAAATGCGCATGGAAACCGCGTCAACAAGACCTAGGGCCTACGGTCGAGCCAAAATAAACCGAATCGGACACAGTCAAACACCCGCATTCACAAGTACAATGAGGTCACGCAACACGAAGAGCGGCGAACCGTTAAAGCACCCACAACAACCAAGCTGGTACGAGGAATATCTTGTCGGAAATGCAATTGAGTTGACATGGTTGGGCGCCTTTCACGGACAGAGGTGCCCATTTGTTCACTTAATAGTTGAGCGCTTACAACAGGCTGGTTAAGACACAGCAGTGGTACCAAGCTACCTTTGACCGGATGGGCACTTAAGGAGGGAACATTCTAAACACACAAAAAGCTTAAATCCGGGATTGAACAACTGATCGGATACAATGATTTATATTAGTGGCACGTGCCAGACTAGTTTGTGTGCCCGCTGGAGTCTTCGAGATGTACGGCGACACAGAAAGGGGGAGCTCACCGAAAGCGGAGCCGAGGGCAGCGCGCACAGCCTGGTCAGTGGCCTCCAGCGAGTGCTCCTTCCAGGTCTCCGAATCGTCACTACGAAGAACCACAATCTCTCGTTGTCTTCCGCGAAGAGCTGCAAAGTGTGGAATCTCCAACAGAACGGGAGAATTGAACTGGCACGGATGAGGCCCCAACTCGATTATGCTGGGTGAAAATAAAATTACCAGGAATCAGAAGCCCTGTGCGGAGTGGTGTGTGTGTGTGTGTGTGAAACGGGGGCTTACCGGCAGGCGAGGCCTTCGCCGTCGTTGAGTTGAGGGGGCGCAGCGGTGCGCTCGGGCCGGAGCATGCGGCAGGTGACGCGGGTGGGCGCGCTGGCCGCGCTCGGCGGCACCACAACCCGCAGACCCGGGTGGCGGCTCGCGCGCATCGATCCGCCTCGTGCGTCCACCAGGAAGGACACGAGGAATCTGCGCGGAACAAGGGGGAGCAGGCGATGACGCAATCGCAAAGCCAACTTACGATGAACTCCGTCTCTAAGTGTCGTCACGTCTACCATCTGTCACCTAGCCGTCCAGATGGCATGTGGTTGGGAGTTTGACTCAAATACAACATGGCTCAATGAACTGTTCATAAGGTACAAACACTCCAATACATCGGGATTTCCTGTTCCCACATTCACTAATTTTGAAACGGACCCGATGACAACGCGGTGGGCTGCTAGGCCATCGAAGCAAAGTTAGCTTAATAACATTGCCATGAAATTTCGATAAACAGGCAATTAACAATCCCACAATCCCACTTTCCTTTGTGCTCAGAAGCGACCGGCGGAGTTTGAATGCTTTGGTACACTTTTTTGTAAGCATTTAACCATGACGCCATAATATTTCAGTCTGTTTGGTTTTGTGGCAGGCGATTGCAAAGCAGATTATAGAACAAGGCTTGACCAAATCAGCACGACCCCTGAAATATACTTGTGCATTACGGCTCTAAGGTCTCAGCAAATGCACTTCTGACATAGCTCAATACGAGTCGAATTACCGAGCAAACGAACAGACCCGACTGCAAGCACTTAGGAGCAAAAAAGAGAGAAATGAAATTAAGTAAGCGGAGTAAGCAAGTCCTGTGAATATCGCATTCAGACGAGGCTTTCAGTAAATACAATTCGGGGTCGATTAAATCCTTTCAATCAAAAGAGAATGCTTTTTTCCTACAAAGTCTACAGAATGGAACTTGCTTTAACAGGCTTCGGCAGCAAAAATTAGTTTTCCCGGAAAGATAAAAGAAACCCAGTAACCTAGTGACAATGAATAAGGTTTGGGCCACTTTTACCGAAAAACGAGACACGCGTTTTTTGCGTTATTTCCACTTCATTTAAAAATGTGGGCACTCAGAAAATGGGCAAGCGCGGCAATCTGATATGCGACAACAGCAAGACGGAGCACGATGAAGGATTTGGCTAGGGGTATTAAGGGTAAGTTACACTGTATAGTCATAAAGTGAGGGACGACTACGAAAGACTAGACGCTAGCCTGGAAGACGAAGGTTCAACGGACATGTGATGAAAACAAGATGCCAGTCAAAGTAAAGAAAGCCAGTTTATAATGACGATTTCATCCGCTGCTTTCAATTTTAATCTCAGTTCTATTGAAGTTTATGTGTAATGCGTTACAAAACCTGATCAACTAAATTCGGTAAATTTCAAAACACTATGGTCAGTTGTTAATATTAACATCGTTATGTTGCGACCTCATTTGCCTAAAGCCTTCCGGAAAGGAGAAATTACTACATCGTGTTCTTGAATTTAGGCGTAGGTCAAGTGATGAATCACCCAGGTCAAGCTGGTGACTGAATGCAGCCAATAAAGGTTAGAAAATCAGAGGCTGTCTACCAAATAATGTTACGCCAATTGAAGAACAGAAACACTCAGTAATTGATGACCTCCCACCACCAAGGTGAACACCAACATTGGCCAGAAACCACAACGATTGGTCGTTTAAGGCTACGCAAATTGACACAGGACAAGAAATCGGGGCCACTATGGCGAAGGCTTGAAACAGTCACAAATACCGATTACTGAGGCGCTGCTCCAATTAATGTTTAATTACTACGGGGCCTGTGTGTACTTGCGTTTGGCTAATTAAACACAAAAACTGTCTCGAAAATGTACATTTGAATTTGGGCGGCGCCGAACAACAACAGTGAAGACTGTAAATGACGCATGCCGAACAACGTATCCCCGTGTCAACCCGGTCGAAGTATATGGCTCATGTGGGCTAAGTACTGATGGCACCAAACCATCCAGTTTTTTAACCCTAAGAAAATGTACACTGCCACCAAAAGGGGCAACAGAAGCCTTCATTTTTTGGTGACAATGTGTTAGTCTAATTGTTAAGGTTCCGAAAAGCCTTTTACAGCGTAGCAATCTGGTCGTTCTGGAATTGCGTCATCACAACATCCCTCAATGAAGTTAATGCACCGCATTTTAGTTCCTGTCGAATCCGCCAAGAAAAATACTCCGCATTCAACTGAAGAACAGAAATTAGCTACCAGAGGCGTTAGAAATTAGCATGTGCCAGGAATCTCGGTAAAAGAGTGCAGCGCTTGGGCCGGGAACGTTCAGCATTCGAGATCAAACGAATGTGAAATCCAGGTTGCAGCGGTCGCCAACACATACTTATTTCTCACATTTCAACGATTTAGGTCGTTGTTGCTTGTCTGATACCAGTAATACCGCCGACTACACGATTTCAACATTTGTAAGATAATGGCTGTGATGATAGCCTATGGCCTCTCGGATAGGCGGAAATGCTTACATACACAGTTGTCACTAGAAATCAAGTATTGGTGAAAGCGATGAAATAAATGAGTAATGAGACTTTGACGTCGACTGAACGACGATGGATATCCGTCAGATGCAACTCCACACAATTACAGAATGCTAAGCCCACAGGGAATTTGTCAATGGCTTCGTGTCAGCGATCGAAACCCAGTCAAAAACCACGTTCAAGCTCTAACCGTGCCTAGGATGGTTGAAGCATCAAAATCGGGGCTTAGGACATCGCCCTGAGCTCAACCAAAAAAAGTTGATTCCTACCAACGCCACTAACCTCGTTCTGTAACTACAGATGGTTTTATTCCTAGGATTTAATGAAAAACATGAACTGACATGTCGAAAGATGTTGGCAAAGGTAACGTGTTATGTAACGAGACATTGTTCCTGGTTTAGATTTACCTGCTGCATCCGATGAACAAAAACAAAATAAATTGCGTCAAAAGGAATGCCAACTAACTATCCGAAGCATCAAACTTTAGTTTTTGGAGAATAAAGTTCAGGGGCACAAAAAGTACATTGTGACCTACAACAGTACTGCTAACGTATCTAGATGCAACCAATAATTAGTGAAATCGGGCTATAAACACTTAGCACACAAAATTCTGGTTGGTTATGGTTGAAAGAGCAGAAGATTAATTAGAGCCGAAATTTAGCCAGTTTAACTAATGGTTTTACCGGTCGTGATCGACATCACTGTTGAGCGGTTTCCCAATGCGTTCACTGACCGCAGCAGTCACTTCCTCCGTAGATTCAGTACGCTCCGATATGCCCATATTCAAAGCGAGGAGCACGGCACAGCACAGGCGAGCGAACGAAAGCGCGCAATGGCACGACGCCGCCAAAGCAGGGCTTGGCGCTTGCGCCGCCAGTGACCAAGGTCGAACCTACTCGGTCCAATCAGAACAAAGGCGCACGTGCGCACAAATGACCCAATAGCAGGGCGAGAGCAATCACGGCTGACTTTATCAGTCCACGCCTAAACGCTAGCGCGTAAATGTCACTGCACCTCTGCATGCCTTGGAGCTCATCAGCGTACCACGCGTGGTGCGGTAGCTCAGCTTCGCCTGCTGTGCATGTTCCAATCAGCACAAGCCCTGTGACCAATCAGATTGTGGTCGAGGGCGGATGTTTGAAAGTAAACATTTGATCAAGTAGGCTCACTGTGGAATACCCGAAGAAGACTGGTTCAACAGAACAGGCTTTATTGACCAATCACAAGCCAGAACCACATGTCAGGCACCATCCATCTGAATCTACCACGCTGGCTGCGCCGCCCATTCTAGACCGCTTCTAATACGTGTCTGTCTCTGGATGGCTGCTTACTTTCCTCACCCTTTTACGTCACTACATCACAGTACTTATGACCTTCATTAACATGAATGCATTAGCAAGAGACAACGTAGGATAGGTGTGTGTTTGAGAAACTAACGCTGGCCAGTTATCTGAGTGGTATCCAATGTGTTTGGCTTCAGGTTAAAGTTAAGGAATTTGGAAAACCCAGGTCCTCATTTCATAGTCCAGGCAATTTAGCTGATTAAAAGATATTGCAGAACCTTACTTTGCCTCTTTTTCTAAAGTTATCTTCCTACGAAGCCGTAGAAAACGACGAAATAAACAAGATTCCCTTGCTCTCTGGTAAGCATGTTTGTTGAATCATGAATTTTAGAATGGTTTAATGCATGCAGCAGCGAAAATATCTGACATCAGCGAATACAGACAGATGAAAACAACACAGTTACGGCTGAAAATCGCATTAACCTGTTTTTAAGATGTAAGGTTTGGCTGCCAAAACAGACTTCGCACTGAGCTTTGCACGCAGATTTACGTATTACGACATGATGTGCCAACTACACTACTCTCTCATGAGAAGTAGTTTGATAAGGAGCTATTTGTGAGTCCTTTGAAATTACCTAATTCCTTCACAAAGTACCACCGACTCGGATACGTACCCAGAAGTAACGGGTTTCCTGCATATGGGGACGTTGTCAGGCACAAAGTCCCACTCCAGACCGCCGTATTCCGCGCCGCCACCGAGGAATCCGGTGGCTCCACTGCCGCCAACAAAGCCACTGCCGTCGCGGCCTGCCAGGAGGAGGCGTTGCGCAGATGCCTAAAAGGGGGAAACGCGTCAGGCCAAACACGTTCCAAGTGGCTGCAACCCAGTGCGATGTCTCGAGGGCAGTGGGTTGACACAAAATGATGAATTTCACCCATGCTGTGAAACGCAGCCAAAACCAATTTTAACACTTCTACTGAAACATTTTAATAGAGTGGAAATCAAATTCAGCTATAGTGGGTGTTGTGTCAAAATAAAAGGAGGTTTTATTGATAAAAAAAACTTCATTTCCGAAAAGGTTGTCGTGAATCGTGTTTATTCGACCCCTTAATCCGGTCGCCCTACCTCCTACACAGGATTCCCCTTGTCGCAGCATGTCGCCAGCCGCTCGAACCCTCAACTCCCCCTTCATCAGTACGAATTTTTATCTTGGAGCATCCCCACGCCTAGGTCTCGATGTTAGTGCATGTATGACTCACACACCCGAGGTATAAATACACGCGCGCAAGCCCCACACACGACAGGATGACACCAACGTGGTTGAGCTCTGAAGTAAACGATTGTGTCCACGTCCTCTCAGGTCTTTTCCTTCATCGCGGGCATCAGGGAAACGTAATCGGGCCAGGGTTAATTCCGTGGCCCCGGCGTGGTTCAGGACCGCATGCTGGGGCCAACAACAAGGTTAACGTCAACAAAACGTGGATTCGGGGATTATCTACCTTCCTTCCACTACATTATCCTGTAGATGGTTTTCAAAACATCGGTAGTAACCCTTGGGTCAAGCTCATTTCCATCGGAAATATCTCAAGAAATTATTAACGGGAGTGTGTCCGACTAAACCCTCCGTAAACCAGAGTGCTTATATCCTCATTTAATCGAAGTGAACTACCCGCGTTTTGATTTTGTCATTTATGAAGAAATAATGAAATCACTTTACTGCACGGCCAATGACATCTTTGACAGAACGCAAGACATGCCTGTGTGCCTAAAAGCAGTGCATCTGACCACTGCTTCAGGTACGTAGACGTAATTTAGGCAAAGGTGATTTCCACGCAACCTCAACAATTACCTCTCGGAGACATGCCTAATAGTGAGATTGAATTGCACCTGTCACAATGCCTGTAGGCGAACTGACACTTCGCGTACTCTTCCTTGCCCGATTACAGTAACACTTAAAGGGCCTGCTATTCCTGGTTACCGATGGTTTTGCCTACCTTCAGGCCATGCACTTAAGGAGGGGATCGTCGCTGTGTTTTCGAATGAGTTTCGGCTAATGATAAACATGTAATCTTTTAACTACTAGGACCAAACCACCTACTAACAAAGTTTAGATGGACTGCATACCTGAATGTTGTCACCATTTACAATGACATCGGCATCGTGTTTAGTCCGTGGATGCATCGAGTGCTTTGTTATGTAGGCTACATCCTCATCAATACTGTCTTCACCTAAAACAAGGGAAAATGGCATTACTTAGGGGATGTGAGGTGCAAGAAGATGAATAGCTTATTGTCCCTGGGCCCGTTCGATCGATCGATTGCCAGGCCAGTTGACGATCGATGCACAGGCGTTGGACGGATTAATCGAAATGGACCGTCAGCAGATGCGTATGAATGGGAGCTCGCCCGAACAGGCTCACCGCATGTTAACTGCACCTGTGACTCATCCCTACCTTTCATTGGTTTCTGTTCGCTGGTGCTTTATAAACACTAACCCGGTGATCCTCTTCATTACTTGGGGGTGAGTGAAAGTACCCACCGCATCGTCTTGCCTTCCACGATTTCAACTGTTATTTTGGTATTGACAAGGCTTGGAGAGTTGATGTGGCATGCTCACTACTACATATACCTAGTCAATACACAATGAGAGCTTCAAAAATTAAAAATTAGGTGTAAATAACTGCTTCAGACAGTCCTTTTCTGGCTGGCGAAGAACCCACAATCTGGTACATTCAAGTGCATTATTCGATCAAGTCCAGCTGAAATAACTTGTTTCATATCAAGATGACGTGAGAGCGAGCACCTTTGTCTTCACAAAGGTGGATTAGAGCATCCATTCTGAAAGGCTTGAAGGTGGTTTTTACTATGAAATTCAAAGTATGTGCTCCGGAAGAACGATGTATTTGAATGCACATGCAATGATGCTAAATGTTTGGAAAATAAAACGCGCTTAAGGATGCTGGTAGACCGGAAGTTACTGTGTGCTGTCAGCGAATTCGTTGGATGGAAAAAGGAGCCACAGGCTGGAAGAAAACATCTAGTTAGCTGTCTTGCGTGTAATTCGAGGCCACAATGCACTGGGGCTACCCAGGCACTACAACTAAAACAGGCTTCTTAAGTTGGGCTAGTCCCAACCCCTTGTTCCAGCCGTCTTCTGCAAACTTCAACAACCAAATGCGTGCGAGAGAAATTTGAATACACTTGACGCTCATTATGAAATAAAAAACACCACATTTTTCAACGTCGACAGATAATATGGTAAGAAATCTGGCATTGGCATTACAATTGAAAAAGCCATAGCCATCTCGAAAATGTGGTATTGGATAAAATTGAACTGAAATCGAAGGCAACAGCTTTGGCAAAACATGTTTTTTTCGTAAAACCTTAATTGCACAAGACGCCCAGCCAAAGTGACATGGATGCGGGTAAATTTACCACGGCTTTCAACTAAACCTTAATCCGTGATAGCTTTAAAAGGTCAGATCGTGAAAATTCTTTTTCAGTCTTTGGAGAAAAATAATTTGAACCAGCTAATAAAAGGTAGCAGATTTTTAAGCAAGACTTAACATCGTCAATCTAGTCGAGGGTGACCCTAGAGAAAAAAAATAGAGCAGAATCTAAGATGAGGGATTTTTCGATCGAGCATATTTGATCCAGTTAGTGTTGAAAATGCAAAAGAGGATGCAGTATCCAGCCTCTAAGTCAAGGTAGTAATTCATACATCGCTACAAAAGTTAAATGTTAAAAAAAAGCAACGACCATCACGCCTCAAAAAACAGATGCACAAGTACTTGCTAATACGCAAATGCTCGACCTAAGGAATTAACATTTATTTAACACAACTCATGTTGATATCGTGGCGTAAAGTCAAAATACGGGTATCGACTCTTGTCGGAAACAGGGAACTTGAGATCTAAATTTGTTACTAAAGCTTGTTGAAGCAGCAGCGCTGACAACAAAGTAGTGGTGCTTAATCGATGCGAAAATTAAAGGCTTTCAAATGATCCGAGTCGAACAGGCTTGTAGGGGACAGACAACTACCTCGTGTGGGTAATGCGTGTATGATAGTCCGACTGTACTGTAGCGGGTCCCGGTGCGGTTTTGGAAACCACACCAGGGCCGGCGATTTACACTGACAAGGCTCCGACCGAAAGAAGAGCAGAAAATGCGGATGACGCGTAGCTCAACCAATTTATCAAAACAGTAGCGGTTTTTACGGGCTGCTAATTAGAGGGTTGTGAGGTAGTGGTAACTCATTCACAACCGACTCGCAGTAGGACTCATGAGGAGATGCACAAACAGGTCTAGACGAACACCAACGCCTGCAAGATTTGTACTTTGGCAAAAATGTTTGGACAAATGCTTTCACCTATGAGGCTTGTTCGAAGCTCTTCCAACTGCCAAATCCAATCTCACTAATAGGGGCAGTAAGCAAACACAGGAGAGAATCTATTGGCCAAATGCCTCGAAGCAGAGGCGTTATTCGCTCCCGTTACGGTGAGTAATGTAATGTAACTCATAAGTTGAGAGCAACTACGTGGGGTGCACCGGTGGACCGCCGTAGTGCTCAGAGGTCGTCTGTTTTAGCCCACTCCGTTCAAGCTGTCGGGGGCACGTGCCTAGATTTAACTACATGCACCGATACGTTTCGATCTGCGATCATGAATAACCTTATAAAACTCCCCACACCTGTTCCCTTTCGCTTTTAACTGGTGGAGTGGGTGGACTTTTGGGTGTTTCGGCCAACGCGAGGGTTTTTCTGAGACCCACATAAGAACTGAGTCCCTATAAATTGCGCATTACTTAGCCGTTTTTAGCATATCAACATCGACAGCTCAAATAACGGTACCTGATCCCTTGTTGACGCTAGAACCGACCTTCCCACGCTACTACAAGAATCAGCCACGTGGGGCGTGAAGCATCGAAAGTAAAACTAAATCGGGTCGGGGTTGACCTTGACCTGATAAAAAGCATAATAAAACACGTTAGTGAATTTGTGTAAATGGTGCCAGAAACCAACGACGAGCAATCTTGGGAAATCGTGGATCCCCAACAGGAATAGAACTTATTTACTTCCGGGTCACCCACATGACCGCCATTAAATGACAGGAGGGAGACGATCTTTTACGTAAATGTACCAAGTCATCTGGGTAAGTTGTCCGCATGGTCCCTAATGTTGTGAGCGAGATTTTGAGCTCCATGTTAGGAGGCCTCTGAGGCGAGCATCAATTGGGAAATTACCGTGTGTGCATTGACCGCTGACCTGAGCAATAACACCCTCCATCTGCACTTGAAGCAAGCGGTAATTGTCTTCAGGGATTCTAATTTTTGAGTGAACGCTATCCACAACAGCGTGTTTCGGCAGAAATCTCGGGCGCAAAGTTCTTTGTGTCAGAAACGAGTCAATTTGGAATGACGCCTTCTAAGTACTGACCCAAAAAAATACTTTCAGCAAATAACTCATCTTGTTTGATAAACATTTGTAGCCAAAGAGTCTGATAAGGCGTGGTAAAGACAACTTCTGCTTTGTTTGTCGCTCTTTTGCTGTCAATTTAATTTGGACGAATTAAATTTGAGGCTACTTCCAGTTCAATGAACTTTACTTTTTTTAAATTCAGTTCAAGCTCATTAAAATGGCTCAGAACGATTGCGGAAACAATTAGTAACACAGATTAAGTTAACTGAACCGCCATAATGCACATTGAAAAGCGCATTTTTGGAAAGTAAACATATCGGCCAAAGAAATACAAAATAATTTAGCGGAAGTGAGTTATTTTGAGAAAACCACTTGCCCGAGATGGCTGAATACTTGTCGGAAGCCCTCGTTCCACCACTCTGGGGACATGCTGCATTCTCAGCGGACGCCCGATTTCGCAGACCAGGCCGCATTTTGACGCGCTCGGCGTCAGTCCGGTCAACACGCTCTTCCGCGAGTGCCTGCTGAGAGGCGGCACGCGAAAACACTGGGGACGGCGGAATGGCCGTGTACTCGACTTCGCCTAAAGCCAACGAACTTGATAACATGGACACGTCAGATTACTACATCACAGTCTGATGTTGGAAGCGCACAAGCTGGCTTTGCGGCTTTATCCCTTACTTCGACGAATGAAGTCGTCTGAAAGTTCCAAGTAGTTAACAAGATTAACACGACACTACTGACTTCAAATTGACTTCAGAGGCGATGAGTTCCGGGTAATGAATAGTCTGAACACAGGTGTTTGCAGAAACCAAGCACCATTGCTAACTTTTGTGGAAATTTAACAGGCAAAGGTTTTATAAATCACAATTTTGTCAGGCAAAGTGCACACACCTAGCTCTTCCTCAGTATCGGTCACGGGATGTTCCCCCATGACGTCGGGTTTCTCGAGCTGCAGTCGTGGAATCCCACTCACCAGGCGACCGTCGTGTTCACCGACGACATTCTCCTCTTGTGGTACTTTCTGACGGACCTGCTCGTCGTAGGACTCGACCTCCTCCCATGACTCGATGGACGTCGTCACACGTCGCAGCACGTCGAAGATGTTGAGGTAGTGCTGGTGCTGGGCCACGTGTCCTGCCGTCCAGCCGGACTGTGCAAAAAATCGACGTCAACAAATGGAAAACGAAAGTCCAGAGCAAATGCTGATGCTCTGGCAGTGGGAAAAGGGTAGACGACGACCACGTAGCGTATTTCCTGCATGAGTACGATTGATTCAGTGATGCCCAAATCACTGATTTGGAGGCTGTGAACACCAACCCACAGGTCTTAAAATCCATTTATTAAGATCAGTGGATTTAATATGTGCCACTAAAAAATGAAGAGATTATGCTGCATGTTCACACAGAGCACCAAACGATGAACATACTGTGGCGATGAGCAAGCCAGCACAGCTAGAATTCGTGAGCGAACGCAGTTTGCAAGCTCGAGCGAACACAAATCAATCGATTTTTTTTCGTGAATGCACTGCAGTGGACGCACAGCCACCGCGCGCGAGTGCTGCGTGTATGCTTGCCCGACTGTATCAATGACTCACCCTCTTTGCTATTGGCTCTTGTTAGCAGTAGCCTGTAACACATGCGTATCGATACGTACTCAAAAGTTAGTTACTCGATTTTAGGCCCCTACAATACCTTGTTTCGAAGATTAGGGTCGGCCCCACTTTCCAAAAGTGTGTAGATGACCTGCGGATGTCCCTGTTGGGCGGCCAGATGCAGGGTACTGGAACCTAGCTCTGTTCGAGCATTCACGTTGCACCCCTTCGAGATAAGGAATTTGATCATATTCAACTAAAATAAAATGGTGGGGCTGGTGTAAGAGCGTTTACTTAAACAAAATAAGTACACCTATTTTCGAAAAAAACTCACCTGGCCGAAGTGACATGCCGTGTGGAGAGGGGTGTAGCCTGCCTTTGTGGTTGGATCTAATTCGGCGCCCGCAGCATACAAAACCTCGGCAGCTTTCACGCTGTCTTCCTGTGCTGCTAAGTGCATTGGCGTGAGACCGTTCTAAGATATAAAAAATCTTCTTGAGGCAGTTTCAACTGATTTTCCCAAATGGCCAGTAATGAGGTCAACGAATAAGAACTAACGCATGGTTACACATTGTTTCAACGAAAGCCTCACTATCGAAGCCCTAAATTGCTTACCTTGGCAAAAATCTTTAAAATCTGAGAAGGGTCCAATTATAGCTCGGTGACTTTGATGGATAAATCGAGGTACAAAGTAGTGTTAAATATTCTATTCTAATTGTTCAGAATAAAAACTTGTTACTAGGCTCTTTCAGTTGTGTGCATTTCAAATTCAAAGGTCATGGGCTAGACCTGGATTGTCAAACCAATGGAATTTTAGGGTCGTGCTTAAAAGAGTCTAAGTGGATCTACAAATAGCGGCAAATTCAAGGTGCTTTAATTGCGTCAATTTGGACACAGGAATGCTTGACGCTCATCATCGACCTATGGGGGCATAAAAGGCACTAGTATTATGCTGCACGGCATGTGAATGGCTCTCAATTTGAGGAATTGCAGTGACTTCTGCTGTCACGAAAGTGTTTTAAGCAGAGCCAAGCAATCTGGGCAAATGAGGGTTATTTGTGTGTCTGCATCGGGCAGAGCACCGCACCTTTGCCCGGGCGTTCACTTTGGCCTTGTGGTCCAGCAGCAGCCGAACCATCTCGACGCTGCCGTCCTGCGCGGCCAGGTGGAGGGGCGTGAAGCCGTTGCGCGACTCGGCGTTGGGGTCGGCCTTCGCCTTCAGCAGGATCCGCGCCACGTCGCACTGGCAGCGCTGTGCGGCCACGTGCAGCGGCGTGTAGCCGTTCTTGGTCTGCAGTCGCGTCGAGGCCTACCAAGGGATGGATGCACGCAGCTTGAAAATGCGAAGGCAGACTGGCTTTAAAACTGGAACTTTACTTAAAAGTCAGCATACAACAAGGCATCGTCGGGGTTAATAGAAGAAATGTGGGGGGATTTGAATACACGAATACTGGGTACTTCAGGGCTGAACGGACACGCATACGACAGGTTCGTGATACGTCGTGCATCGTGGCCCTTGACACTTGGAGACGTCGGTTGAAAATGCCTGGCAAACAGTTAGAGCCCCAAATACCTGAGTGCGTTCACAATCAATTCCTTCAACTCGAAGGTCTTTAAATCCCGAACTACAAATTGTAGTTTAGACACAAAATCTAAGTGTTGGATTTGACTACAGATTTACTTTCAGGAGCCAACGAAGACAAGGGGCTCGAAGTTTCTAAATATTACCACTGGAAAGCATTTGGCAATGAAGGGACAGCCCGTGGTCGAAAACGCTTACCAAACTTAGTTCAGTTAGCGGTCATTTCTGGCAGAAGTTCAAAGCCTGCTCCCAAGCGCCTAGCTTTTCATCGACGGGAAGAGAATGGTAAAAGAAGGCATAAGCACACAGTGTTCGAGGGAATAGTCATCAAATGACAGGAAAAACAATTCGGTCGTGGGATGAAAGGATCTTTTTCTGACGGAACTGCAGCTAATGCCAACAGTTGTTAGGCGGATTTCGAAGCTGACCTTGAAAGACTGACTCACCCCTTTCTGAATGAGAGCTCGGACGACGGTTACGGAGCCGTAGTGCGAGGCGAGGTGGAGCGGAGTGAGGCCGTTTCGGCCAGGCACGTCGAGTGCGGCACCGGACTCCATCAGCAGTTGTGCCGGCCCCAAACGCGAGTACTTTGCGGCCAGGTGAAGAGGCGTAAAACCAGACTGGAAGGGGTAAGGGAGTCAGGTGATGCTACGCAGGAATTAAACAAACTGAGGTAGGGCTCATAACAATCAGGGTACAAGTTAGACGGAACTTACTGGAATGCTAAGCTATTCGCAGTAATCACTGAAGATGAGGAGATTAGATCATGCGGCACAACTAACGACATTTGTTTGGTCAATATACGAATCCTTTCTAACATGTACACGACAAATTCAGGATTGGCTTTAATAAAGCAAGTTAAACGCAGACATTAGCACACAGAAACAGTCTCAAGTTGTACCCACTAGCCTCAGTGAAAGAGGCTGAAAAGCTAGTGGCCAGCGTACTGAAGGTACCTTTGTGAGAACATCAGTTTGTGCCCCCGAATCAAGCAGCAGGGAGACGGCACCTTCGTGTCCCGCTTTCGTGGCGACATGCAGCGCCGAATGTCCATCTCTAGTCACAGCTTGCACATTAGCACCGTGTTGAAGCAGAACCTTGATAATTTCGCAGTTTCCTAACAGAGCAGCGACGTGGAGACACGTCTGATTGCCCTAAGTAAAAACAACAACCAATGGCGGCAAACTTCTACTGGCAAAAAACGAACATGCTGTGAAGCAAGAGGCATCAGTTACCCTGGCCTTGGCATCGACCATGGCGCCGTTTCGAAGCAAAAGCCTAACTGCCTCGGTTCGGCCTGCACGCGAGGCCAAGTGGAGAGACGTCTCGTTGTGCATGGTCTGGGCGTTCGGATCGGCTGAGTGTTGCAAGAGCAGCACCAGAATACTCGTGTTGCCCATGAACGCAGCCACGTGAAGCGGTGTTAGACCAGACTAGTGTGGAATGAATAAGGGTAAAACAAAATGGACGCCTCACCTCAGTGGTGATGTCCACCGTGCATCCGTGTTTTAGAAAGAGTTCCAAGATTTTTACTCGGTTCTTCTTGCAAGCGATGTGAAGCGGTGTGAATCCATTCTGTGAAAAAAAAACAAGATATAAACATTCAGTCAAAAAGTTGGGTTTGAAAACTGGTATGATAAACAAGAGAATAAAACGGAAACAGATTAGTTAACTTAATTATTTACAACTAATGGGAATCTCTGGGAACAACACAGCGCAAGGCCTTCGTGAAAGCGCTTAGCTCCGCTTAGCACACACGCGCATACCATTAGTAATTGAACAGAGCAATTAGCGCTGACAATCAACTCTCCCATCGTAAACAGAATCTAAAATTTTAATAAAAACAACTTGAGATTGTGGTGGTGTGTTATTGTGCGTTTAGGGGACAAAACCTTGAATGAGAACTAAATTAAATTATCAGTGGGAGACCCAGAAATCTATTTACTCTTGGAAGATGGTTAATTGTTATTTGGCTCTGACTAGAGAAATCTGACGATACTAAATCCCAACCACAACTGACCACAATCGACTTCAACTGTACATTAAAATCGGAGTTTGTTTCGAAGTTTCAAGTCTTAAGATGTCAAGATTGCTCGTGAGATAATGTCAGGCTCAGAAAATTACATCTTTAAGCACCTATCTGCCACGTAATTAAAAAAAATTGTGGTTAAAGGAATCCATAAGAGTATTCGAATCATGCAGCTTCAATTGCCTAAATTATGCTTTCTTTGGGGTTTATCTTCTAATGTAACAAATCTTTAAATTGGAAGGAAGCACCAACTCCTGATCGCCTCCCCTTATTTGTGGGTTTTTCGTTTAAAAGTAGATGTTACTGCTCCAATCAGTGTCATGTCTAAGAAGATAGACTGGGTTAACAAAAACTGCAAGTTACGCACAGAGTTCCGGGATCAGTCATTGTCAGACACGAGGAAAATTAAAACACGACATAAGCGATGTTTAACAAGTAAGCACAAAAAAGAAGCTGCTTAGACTGCAGTGGACAACTTAGACGAAAGCTGTGGCGACCACAAAACGAAACGGCCAGGCCGTCAGAGCTGGTAATCATTACGGTTATCTGGGTAGCCAGACAGACGTACGCGAGCACGAGCATCGAGGTGGCTGTGTGCATCGAGTAGGATCTTGGCGACTCGCACGCTTCCACAGTGGGCTGCCACGTGGAGCGCGGTGAGATTGTCAATCGTCACGTCGTCCACGTCGGCGCCCTGCACGATCAGCAACTTGGCGCACTCGGGATGATCGCCCTGCGAGGCCATGTGCAGTGCTGTGAGTCCACTCTGCAATACGAACCAAACATTTGGGAAATGTACTGAAATCCCAACTCAGGCTAGCGGGTTTTCTAACTGGGTGTTAGGGAAGCTTTGACACAAGCACAGGAAACAAAAGCGGGACGAAAGAGATAAGCAGAATACGACTTCTCGTATTGAATTCATGGATCCGTGGAGGAAATTCCTCGTCAGCGACTGGGTCACAACTTGTTATATCCTCGAAATCTAACTTTTCCATCGCAAAGCCACACCAATAAATGCTTGAAATTGCGGGTAGATTGTGGAATTAGAGGAAATGACGCTAATATTGACCAAAGTTACTACTCATTGCAGAACGAAATTTTTACCACACAGTGTCAAGATGATTCTCTGTTTGTGCAGGGTCAAGGATGATATCATACAGGTCACGATTTGTTTACACAAATCAGAATTCGAAATCGGTAGAATCCAACCGCAGAATTCAGGTGTCGAGTTGGAGCCTCAGGGTGTCCCACTAGTGAACGACAAAATTCCCACGAGATTGGCTGACACACTTCAAACGCCCTCAGTCGCGATGTCATCGCGTGGCACAGGACAATGCACCGACTTGTAGCGGATTAACAGCGATCGAGCCTGAGTGAACCCTGGTTACCGACCTGACGGTGACAATGGTTCATCCCCTTGGCATTGGTTACTGTATCAGATCCCTGTCATCCGTTCACACATCCACACACTAAGACACACTTGGCTGGCGTGATGCTAACAAACGGTCGTGTCCTCTGACGCCTCTCTTGCCTCCATTCTCGGGTTGTTAACTAGAGATTTGTAAGGTAGTGCTTAGACCACAAGCCACTACCAACTCACGCGTGTCTTGGCCGAGTAGTTGGCGCCGGCGGCGAGGAGGAGCTGGAGGACGTGCGCGTGGCCGGATCGCGCCGCGCAGTGGAGGGGCGTGAGACCGTCGCGCGTGGTGCACTCCAACTGGGCGCCCGCTCTCAGCAGCCTCTCCACCACCCCCACGTTCCCCCACTTGCTGGCTACGTGCAATGGCGTCACGTTATTCTACAAGAAGAAACAGGATGAAGGGCTACTTGAGAGATGTCCACGCGACCACCCAGTACAACCAACACTGCCCTCGCAGCCATCAGCATCACAGTCGACAGCAGGGATTAGAGGCCCTCAATGTGAAGAGTGGACCCAATTCAAGCGACTGCTTTGATTTGATCCCCTCCAATAAGAGCGTAATTTGAGTGAGCCCATGAGCCCACGTTTAGGAACCTAGTCGTTTCGTCACCGTTGGTATGGTTCTGGCCTTTTACCGCGATATGTAGCCAATTTTCTGTAGGTTAAATTTAAACTGACTTCAACTTTCTAATGAATTTGAGAGGGATATTAATCTTCAGCGAACCTAGACCATGTTTCTAACAGCTCAAAACCTTCACACACACGCGCACAGGCTGGGCTAATGCTCGCATCAGCGTCACAAACTGCAAATAAATAAAATGCCTGACAAATCAGACCGGTCGATTCCACCAAGGCAGACGGCATTTCGCACACGAGGCCGTCCAAGTCAGGTCATGTCGGGGTCAGGCAAAACCACCAGCAATTTCATGTAGTTAAAAGGTCAAGCATTTTGGGAAAGCAGTAGCGCATCGCGGCAGAAATTTTGTGGCTCATTGCAGTTCAAAAATAGCTTGAAGCGATTTCTCTTAGCTCGCATAGTTAACGTTCGTCCTTCCATTGCCGTTGGCCGAAAATGCTCGACCAGTCGAGCAAGCATCACAAAGGAAGGATGTCTGCCTCTCGTTGCCATAGCGATAAACTCCGAGTTAATAAAAGATACGACGTAAAAACAATGCCGAATTACAGCACTTGCCTGTGTTTGGCGTTTAGGAAACAGAAAAAGCCTATGGGGATTAGGATAGAGTAAACAAGGACACAATAGACGGATAAGAGAAGGATTTTTACTGCTGTGACAGAGACTATTTTAAGCCGAGGAGACGGGATTCAGGGAGAAATAGGAAAGTTTTCGTGACTTTACCTACACGCAAAAATAACTTAGGAAGTACAAAGGTTTGTTCCCTTTTTTTCTAGTTGAATTCAAGGTTTTGACACATTATTGGAGTAAAACCATTGCATTTGGCAGTGGGCATTAGAATTGCCCAATTTGTGGTTAATGCTTCGAAAGTAATCGGAAGTGCGCGATTCCCGTTGAGAAACTTGTTGCCTGAAGACAAAACACAGAAGTTCTTCTCGAAGAAAGGTTTAGCAGCCCGATCCCAAAACACAGAAGTTCTTCTCGAAGAAAGGTTTAGCAGCCCGATCCTTTATTCAGTTTTAGTTGCTTGCGTCAATCGCTATCACACTACATGTGTTCTCGAAATCTCTACTTTTGAAATCAATAATTTCCTTCCTCAATTGTCAACCGAACGAAGCTTAAAGCAATTGATAAACAGCTGAACTGGATATAAATGTTTAAATTCCCATCGAACGCTCAAGCGTTTACTTAAACAATGCGTCAGACAGCTGTGGGTGACGCCATTTTCCCGCCAAGGGTACTTCCCCTTACTCGACTTAGAATGTAAGCCTTCGTCACTAGCATGACTTGCATACAAATTAATTGCCTTCATGTATGACGTCCCTGTACCGCGTGGCAGGGCTGAGTCGTCGAAAAAAACGAGCATCGCCTGCATTTCGCCTCTTTTTTTTCCAATCTCTTATCGGTTGCACGCACCGAGCGCGAGGCCTCAACACAGTGGCTTTTTTCTACGCACCGTCTTTAGGAGTTGGCAGTGCAGGCAGGCGCTGCGCCCACCCCAGATGTGGACGTCGTCAAGGTGCCATCGCGCGCACCTCGTAGGAAGGCCGACCGCACGCGCGGAGGGCGTGCACGAATGAACAGGCTGCACGGGTGCGTGCGTGTGATAGCATGACCTCTGGTCGACTTGGTCGTGGCTTGAGGTGGTGGTGTATGATCCAAAAACTTCCACCCTGTGCATCTGAACGACACACGTGTTACTGGTGTTTTCTGGCCCCGTGCATCTAACAAAAACCACCAGGATGCGCAAATGGGGATGGCGAATTCGCCTACTCGTGTGAGGGTAGTAGCTCAGTGAAATAGGCTCGACGATAACAGCCAATCACAACGGGCAGACAAAATGGAATAGTCTGAATTCTACGCAAGAGGGCGAGTAGAACTAGTGCGGAACTGAGAGTCAGGATCAATTAGAGTGGTGTGGTTGATACTAGAAAACGTGTCTGTTCGTCGAGGTGACAACGGAACTTGTCTTGTGGTGCAACAGGCGATAAATGACATAGTAGGGCACTAGGCGCCATGGGATAGCGGGGGCATTAAGAAGAGGAATAAATGTGGCCACAAGGTCTCATCCAACAGAGTTGAATAAAAAAGGCCTCAGGAATGCAACATTCCGGGATAAAGTGTGTGAATTTCATTCCGAATGGCTAAACACAGTTACAGTAGCAGCAACAAAAACGAATGATTGTTTCTTAGAGAAAGTCAGACAATAAGGTCTCATATACACTGCGTGGGGTCCAAACAAGGTTTCCTCATTTGAAGAGTTCCTGTAGCCAGAAAATACACAAGGAGAGCATTCACGTCACACATTGTCGACATCGCCCTCTTTGATCATGTGGGGTCACCCATCCATAACATTTGGACCATCGAAAAAGTGGCGGGCAGTTGTCGTTCTGCTCAGTCGGCATCGCCGTTCAGGCAGAATGATTGAGCTGATCCTCCCACAGTTTTCACTTATCATACATTAGTGCCTGACCCGCCGAGGTCAAATAAACGAATCACTTTTCTTCCAACTGCCCTGTGGGAGGCGTCTCAACCAGGTTTAGCCAAACTCACCGTTGTGGAGATTATTAGCTCCTTCATGGCTCCACCGCACGCACAGCTCGAGTTTGCTTCCAGACGCATCGCTCTTTGACCAGCCAATCTCGCTCGCCATCGAACTGCTGCCTAACACTGATCCATTCTTCCCATGTCATGGTCACATCATACAAATACAATTCA